AGCCAGTAATTTCATCATAGATGTTTATCTCATTGGTCAAGCATGACCAATGAAAATAATTTTCAGAATTAAAATTGGTGAATGAAGTTAATTTTACAGACCTATGCACCTTATGTGAGAAATAAATATAATGGTGAATATGCATGTCAGAATGGAGCAAAAGCAGGGCTGCTACAAGAGGGAAAATGAATGAGAAGCCGGTGGTGGTCATGGCACAGTTTTGTCACTGACCAGGGCACTGTCTGACCATATCTAAATAAGGTGAGCAGAGTAGCATACTGATAACAAGGTCCACCGACAGTCCCAGAAAAAAACGACGTGACAAACCAGGTCCAGGGGCATCCTGGGAGTCCATTCAGGTGTAGCAGGAGGTGAAGGCAGATACAGGGCTGAAGGCAAGATTGCAGCATGGGTCCACTGAAGACAGAATTCAAGGCAAACTACCAGCAAGATAGGTCAATGTCCATACAGAAAACAAGGCCAGAGGCAGGACCTGAGACAGGTACACAGCATAGTTCAGAAAAGGACTAAAAGTCCAGGCCCAAGCTTAAACAGAGTGCCTGAACCACAGAACAGAGAGTGCATGTGTGGGGTTTCAGGGCTGATCAGGGCACTTAGGACCCAGTAGTGCACTCAGGGCTCTTAGAGTGCAGTCTGTAGCATCAGTAAAGATATATCCGAAAACCTGAGACCAACGAGGCCATACAATGTCAAAAGAAGGATGAAGCTTGACTGCACCATGACTTCAGCTGCATTTTACTGATGAGCAAGGAAGGTCCACATCAGTGCCTAAAAGCTTTACAGAAAACCTGAAATTTGCCTTGGAGAAGAAAAACTTCCATTACTTCACATACAAGAACATCTCTTAGGAAAGTGGCTCTTTGGAATGAATCATGCAAGGGAAACAGCAAGCTACGGCAGAAATCTGGACAGCTGTTTTTTCTCAATATCAGTCAGTCATGAAGAGGAGGCTATTCATGTAACTTTACCAGCAAAGGTGAGCTGGTGCTATAACTAGGTGTTTAGTCAGCATTCTAAATGTCTTTATCAATGTGAAGAGGACAACACATTGAATTTATAATTTCCTTTAACATAATTAATGAAGGAAACTTCCTTTCTCCTAGATGTTTTAATATACTGAATTATCTGATCAACAAGTGGGAGGAAATGAGAAACTAGAAGGATCCAGACAGAATTAAAACCTGTCATGTGAAATTTAACTGACATACGAACATATTACATCAGCTAGTATTTAGTCTAGTCTGTCATTTTACGTTCTTATGGGTTTACTGTGTAAGGGAATGGACTTTTCCTAATTCCCAAATTTCTACGCTCTTTCTATGCCTTGGTTTTACAGAAATAGGATGCTGAAATATCTGTCTCTCATTGTCCTACATGTTAATGAACATATTCAATATAAACAGGGAGTACTGGCAGATGAGGAGGCTTAGTGTACTGGAATTTTCTGATGTGTCTAGTCTGGGTGATCTGTAGACTCACCAACTTGTGCCATTCCAATCCAGACTTTCTCAAAAGATTAAAATTAATTGGTGGAGATAACCGGTACAGATCCCTATGAATCATTGTTAGATTCCAGACTTCAGAAGTTGTGATGTTTCTAAAAGACATTCAATAGACGGACAGCAGACAGAGGTAGAACAGTAAAGTTTCTTGCACATTATGGACAATTAAGAGTCTACTGCATCTTCTGTATGATTCATCATACAGAACACAAACTCCTTCAAAACATGTAAGCATGCATCAAGCTTTTGTACCTCCCAAAAACTAAATGTTTGTCAGGCTCTTTCTTGGTAATCCTGAAGATGGTAACTGTAATGATCTTCTCATTCAGTTTCCCATTGCACCTCAGTCTAACTCCTGTGTTCTGCTTCCACTTTGGACCCCAGAGAAAGTATTTTCCTTTGTTCTCCAAGTAGCTATTCTTTTAGACAATCTACTTAAATTCTTCTTCACAATTTCTTGGAATCTGATCAAAGGTCATTATCTTACCCTAATGTATTTATTCATGAAGCCTCACAGTTTATTATCCTAACCTGGAAGAAAAGTAGTCACCCTTCTTCTTCCAAAAAGATCTATTCTCCTTGGTTCTTTATTCATAAGTGTGCATTGTAGATTGTCTAGATCTTTTCTTAGCTGCAGTTATAAACGAGGAGAATGCAAGAGAAGTATAAAAACATTTGAAATATTGAGATGAACTTTTATAAATTCATGCATTTCAAAGCAAATGAAGCAGGAGTCTGAGTAAATCCAAAAGCCACTAGCAGTGTCCAAGATTCCCTCATTTATTGGCAAGATGACCTGGCTGCATGAGATTGGCTGACAAGATCAGAAAGCTAAAACATCTTTTCTTGTACCACCTCCAGAGGAGCCCATAAGATTTTCTGGCATTCTCTGAAGAAATCCTGGAATGCCTCCAGATCATGAATAGTGAAAGAGAGAGACAGATCCATAGCTTTATCCAGTAAGGGTGATGAAAATGGAAGTTGCAAAATACTCTCACCAACTTATACATATAGAAAGAAAAAAAAAGTTAAATTATTTCCACTGGGGAAAAAAAAAGTAGGTTGATAACACAGACCGAGTGGAAAAAATCTTGCAGAACTCAGAGAAAACAAAAAAAAAAAAGAAAAAAATCAATATATTCAAAACCTCTAAAGCCACAGGCCAGGATAACAAGTCTGAAGATTTACTCTAAGCAAAGATCAGAAAAGAACCTGAGAGTCCTGCTGTGATTCCTGAGCCAATTAAGAGAACAGGAACACATGTCAGAAGAATAAAAAAGAGCAGCCATCATCAATGAAATTAAATAAAGAAACAACTAAAGAGTCCCAGGAAACTCAGCAGTATTACTCTGAAAATTATTTCCCATGCTTTCAACTGCAGCTTTCTAGAGCACCATGCTGGAGATTTTTTCCCCCTATTTAATCAGAATTTTGTACTTTACAGAATTATTAAATACAGTAACAATGAATTGAAATCATGAAGTGCAACAAGCAAATTAAAACAAAAAGCAAAACAATTTTCACTGTGGATGTTTAGGGCAAATATTTAGAACACAAATCAACAAACAATAAAGTTGAGATCTTGCAGTTAGTGTTATTAGCCACAACACTGCAAACAGTATAAATGAGAAGGTGGACTTACCTTTGCTATATTTCAAGAACACTGGACAAACATTTCGCTAAACAAACCCTATTCTGGCAAACCCAAAGCAGAAACAAAAAGAGGTCATTCCAGAAGGACCATTCAAAACACAGCTATGGCTGATGCACCAACTTTACAAATCAACAGCTTTAAGAGATTAAAGGTACTGGCCCACCATAAGATTGTATAGGAACTAATCTCCCCTTTAAGCACCCAACAGTGCAAGGGATGGACTAGATTTGATTGGACAAGACTATGAACAAAGAAAAAAAAAAGAAAGAAACTGTACAGTAACTGTACAGTAGACCTAACACTTCAGGGGAGACTCATTCCAAGTTCAGATAGATCTTTCCAAACTCAGCCATTTCAATTTTATTTATGTGTAAAACACCTGGTGAACACATTAGGAAAAAGTGAACAGTTTTCTTCCTTCTGAGAACTCAAGAATAGATTTTAAAATGCAGAAGATTTGATCTCTGTTCTGAATAATGAGTGAAAATTTTGGTTTTAAATATTTATCTTTTTTTTTCTGAAAGGTGAAGTGAAAGGGAAAAGTAATCATTTGTTTTCATCATTTCTTCTCCACAACAGTTACTACCACTGTGTAATGTGTAACAAACACACACATATACATAATACTTAACACCCTTGAAATATATGTCATTAAGGACTTGAACTACTTCTTTGAAGTTTGGCTAATAGAACTCAGGGGACATTGGAATACACCAACTTTGCCAAATTAAATATAGAGCAATAACATACATAAATTATTCCTCTCTTCCCAGGACATACTCATATAATTGATTGCCCAGATTTTACACTTTAACTATTTTACCATTCACCTGCTCTACTTATATTAACATTTAGAAACAAAGAGAAAGATAAGTGATCTGTGAAAAGCTTTCTACTTTTTCATTACTCTTCAGCAACACAGTTTGAGTGGCTTATTAGAAAAACATAAAAAGGTAACAGATTCCAACCCCAGCAGTCTCTAGTTTCAATACTTTTTGACATTCAGTGCAGGTAATACAGCAATGTTTTTGGCAAGAACATATATGCCCCCTATAAATTTAATGTATTCTTTCCACAGAAAGAGGGAAATACATGAAATACTCATTAAGCATTTCCTAAATAGAAAATTCAGTACTAAAAAAAAAAAAAAAAAGTTACATCTTTCAATAAACTTATGCATACATACACACAAATCAAATATAAAATTATTCTTTAAAATATAAACATTCCCCTATCCAAACCCCTTTGCTTTTAAACAAAATTCTTTCAGCTTCTTCAACAGGGATTACCCAAGTATTTCCTTTCCTGACCAACGTTCCCTTCCCACCACTATCTCTCTTTGTCCCACAGCTTTCCCAAGTACAACACTGAAACGTTTTTGGCAAGTGTAGCATTTTATTCTGAGTTTATGATAATGTATTATGCAAATTCATTGCACTACATACATAATTTCTCATTTCATACAATTACTTTTGTATTTTAAAAGCTGGATCATAAATTTTACCTCCTCTAGCAGTAATGAAATGCCATCAGCATTCAGTTCAAAATACTATTTTATATATACAATTAGATGTACAAAGGTAGGTAAACATGGGTGATAAATCTTGAACATTTAGTGGTACAAAACTAACCACTACTGAGGAAGCAGCATTTTATCTGGTCTGTTGAAATTAGTAAATTCCAATTAGCCTTTAATTTTCTTTTATAAAGACCTGACTGTAGATTTTATTCCACATCCAAATTGCTACTGGTATATCACAGCAAGTACGACAATTCTGAATATAGCATGGAGTTTTATTCCAAGGTATCTAATTCAGCCTTACCTCAGAGTTCTTAAATCCCATAGTTTGATGCCATCACCTGCAGCTGTGGTCATGAAGAGATTATAAGCTTCGGGTTGTTGAGTACTGAAGGATGACCCCTGTAAAATATGAAGTCAGCTTCAGATAACTATTCTTGTGGCACTAAATATATATAGAATTAAAGAATCGTAGAATACCTCAAGTTGGAAGGGACCCACAGGGATCAACAAGTCCAACTCCGTGCTCCTCACAAGACTACCTAAAACTAAACCATTTGACTACAAGCATCATCCAGACACTCCTTGAACTCTTATAGGCTCGGTGCTGTGACCACTTCCTGGAGAGTCTGTTCCAGTGACCAAGCACTGTCTCAGTGAAGAATTTAGTCTATTTAAAAAACAAACAAAAGCTGTTTGTTAGACTATGTGTAAAAAAGCTTGTCTGCCCACACATAAAGGAGTGCAGAGGCAAGCTAGCATGTGGAGAAACCTCCATAATGCAGTCAGAGAAATGGAGCACTGCCTTGACTCTTTGACTGCCTCAACTCTTTGACTGCCTCGACTCTTTGCAGTGTTGTCCCAGGACAGCCATGTGAGCCCTTTGGTCCAGGAGTGACACCCACCATGATGAGTCAACGGGAGAGGCTCTCCAGGTCATCTCACAAACTGATGGGGATTACTACCTATTGGGGTATGGGATCCTTTATAGGATGCACGGGAAGATAATTTTGTGATTGCACAAGACAATCATAGAATCATAGAATCAGAATAGTTAGGGTTGGAAAGGACCTTAAGATCATGTAGTTCCAACCCCCCTGCCATGGGGAGGGACACCTCACACTAAACCATGCCACCCAAGGCTTTGTCCAACTTGGCCTTGAACACTGCCAGGGATAGAGCATTCACAACCTCCCTGGGCAACCCATTCCAGTGCCTCACCACCCTAACAGGAAAGAATTTCCTCCTTATATCTAATCTAAACTTCCCCTGTTTAAGTTTTAACCCATTACCCTTTGTCCTGTCACTACAGTCCCTAATGAAGAGTCCCTCCCCAGCATCCCTATAGGCCCCATTCAGGTACTGGAAGGCTGCTATGAGGTCTCCACGCAGCCTTCTCTTCTCCAGGCTAAACAGCCCCAACTTCCTCAGCCTGTCTTCACATGGGAGGTGCTCCAGTCCCCTGATCATCCTTGTGGCCCTCCTCTGGGCTTGTTCCAACAGTTCCATGTCCTTCTTATGTTGAGGACACCAGAACTGCACACAGTACTACACGTGAGGTCTCACAAGAGCAGAGTAGAGGGGCAGGATCACCTCCTTCGACCTGCTGGTCACGCTCCTTTTGATGCAACCCAGGATACGGTTGGCTTTCTGGGCTGCAAGCGCATTCATTTAAGGCAGGAAATAAGGGCAGGAAAAGAGGGAGGGATCAAACAGTAGTCTAACAGTTAATTATAAGCCATGTTTAACCTTGGCATAAGTGGGCATATTTTCATTGACTTCAGTAGCAATTTCATTCATTCATAACAGGACTGATTTTGGCTTTGTACCTTTAAATAATTAAATTCAGCCTATATTTAAAACTCTGCTTTTTTAACATCCATGTTGGCAAATCCTGTGGCCTTTTCACTGGCTACAAACTTGTTTCTCCAGGGAACTAAATATAAACAGTTAAAACTCCTTCTTTCCTTTCCCCACTGTTCACATTCTTGTTCTGGCTGAATACACCACAGAAACCTCAAGGCCATTTCCCGCAATCAGTGCTTCATTGCCAGGAATCTTCTATTTGTTATGAAAACTGGCATATAACTGGAAAATGCTTTAGTATTTAGTCAATAGAATTCCCCAAATGGCAAAACAAAGTGGCATACTCAGCATTAAAAAGACTATAGGAGCTTTCATTTATTTTGCTTTAAGTGGGTTTCCTTTCTAAACTGAGGATTACCACAGCCTGCTCTAACAGATGAACTAAAATGTACCATATTTCCCAACAAAGTCTACATAATTTCACATTAGCTGTATCTGTTAAAAAAAGAAAAAAAGGAAAAAAGAGTAATTGTAAAAGAGAAAGACAGTAGTTGTCCAAAGGATAGTACCCATTAAAAGTTACAGAACACCTTTTTTTGCTTTTGTAACTTTTCCTCACCATCCCTTTCTTCACTCAGCCATGACCTCAGAGTCCAATACAAAAAGTTCTAAACATACATACACGTTCACTTCATGAACTAGTTGGAAATCACTGTTTGAATTTGATTCCATCAAATTTGAGTCTATCAATACAACAGTGTCAACACTGTTGACATACAGCAGTGTCAACACCAGCCTGTCACTGAAAAGTGGGAGATTTCCACCAGTTGCCTCAGGCTAGAGAGGAACAATAAACCTCTTTCCCCCAGCTGCTAAGTACCCAGAGAAGTAAGCTATTACATGAACCTGCAGCAGTATCACCGCCACATCTCCACAGGACCATGTATTTAGCCCACTTTCCCAATGAAATTATGCTTATGCAAGTGTACTGTCTGCTGATTCCCATACAGAACTTTTTTAACCTGCTTCACTATTTAAAACCAACCTGACAGAGGGATAATGGTCTTACGATGTTTCCACAATATACATATAATTAGCAGACAAGTTAAAACCAGCACAGCCATTAAGAAAAGGGATTTTCTTTGACAAGTCATTAACCAGCCAACATAAGAATAATTTAGAACAGGCATGGAGTATGGCATGCCTCTCAGTCAGCTAGCAATAAGGACAGCACAAGAAGATAAGGCTGTGATAGGGGAGAGTCTTTAGGGAACACAGGGAACAAAACTGAAAGTGCATGTGGTGGGAGCTGAAGGTTATAAAGAACACAACAGTAAAGTTTCTGTGGTGGATTTGGAAGGCGATATTTGAGAAAGCAGGCTTTAGAAAGAATGCTCAGTTTTATTACTGCTGCAAGAACCTGCACACAAAGACAGACAAGCTTTGTATCATCATCATATGGTATGCCCTATATTTCAGGGGAAATTGGTGCCAAAAAGTTTTTTAAGGAAACTAAAATACACTGAGGTTTAGAATAATGAACATTAATATGCTTAATTAGATTAAGATTATAGATGTTTTAAGCAAGCAGTATAAGGCCTGAAGTTCTGCAAGGAATTTAATTGAGTAAACTCTAATCATACGTGGAGGTTCAAGAACTAGGCATGTTTTTTGTGGTTTCCTCTGATGGACTTCGATAAACTAAATTGCATTATTGTAATTCCAGGATTAAGGGTTCTTCATATATCAAATCCTAAATAACTGTACTAATCTAAATTAAATGTCAAATGGAAAGTAATGTGCCACATGTAATACAAATATATAGACAAAAATCTGGTGGTAAGCATACTACCCAGAACAACTTCTTCCCAAGGTGAAGATTTTGTTGTTACAATTTTGCCCAGTTTTCTCTTTTCCTTTTACTGACTTATTTTGTCCAGTACTTTAGATTTGTCACAGCCCCATATACGTAGATCTAAAATGGCCTTTTTATAAGTTTCAGAATATCTATTTCTCATCAGAGAGATGTTTGCTGCATTCTTGCTCTGATTTCCCTTCCCTTATGTTGACAAAATAACAAAAATTCACAACACAAAATACTGTTCTGTAGAATATAAGCAAAGACCCGAGGAAAACATAATCAAGTCAATGAAAACTATAGATGGAAAGGTAAAGTGTGAAAATGTTTATATATATATATGTCTGCCAAGGATATATAGAGTGTATATAGAGAGACATACATTACTTTCAACCACTGCTGTAATTTAAGGTTTTCAAATTAAGCAGGCTGGTATTAAGACCTTTGGCTATTCCTACAGTTAACAGAGATAAAGAAGGAAAGATAAAGCACAGCAATGTATACTTTCCATCATGATGTGATGTTAGTGTGCAGATATATTTTCATTGTATTCATTACTCTTCATCTCACGATAAACATGTAACAACACAGCAGAGCTTCTTGTGCAAATGTGGAAACTACTGATTTTTAAGATTTACCAGCTAAGACTTTTTTCTTACATTTCCGTCTGCTCTGAGTCACAGTAACAACTATTTTCCTCCAGCTTCCATGCAATTTTTATAATTTGTTTTCAGCATTATACTGTTGAATTTTTTGTTTCTGAAATAAACCTTTGCATTCAAAGCTGGGTGTAAAATGAGACTTTCTAATTGTGCTACTGCCTTTAATTTAAAGATGCTTAGAATTATTCTTTATACTAAAGCAGAAATCTCAACCTTCTGGGAGTGAGCTTTACTGATGCTGCTCTCTTCGCCTCCCTGCATCCTTCTCCTCATGGCCATTACCTCTTTAAACTTAGTTTCTTCCAGTCCCTGCATATGTGTCCTCTGGACCCTTGCAAGATACTGAGGTTCAAGGAGGTGAGAAGGGAAGATGTAATAAGGAGCTCTGGAACAACAGTAATTAACGTGTGCTTGTGACTGGAACAGTATGGGGCAGGGGTAGTGGGGGAAAGATTTTACTAGAGTGAGGGAATTAAGTATGAGAAGTAGCAGAAAGGAAAGAGGTTTTAAGAGGTGAAGACTCAGTTGCAGAAACAAAGCACCTGTAATGATATAGAGAGATACAGCCTAGCTTCAACTGGTGAAACAGGTGTGGAGATGCAAACTGGCCAAGCGACACAGAATCAGAGGTGCAGGCTTCAGCCATATGTTGGTTGCTCTGGAGCTCCAGCAAATTGTAAAGAAGCTTGAGGCAGTACAGTCATCCCAGAGGCTGCCAATGAGAAAGGGAGAAGAGCGACAAGATAGAAGACAAGCTGGAAGCCCCATCTGGTTGCTGCCACTGTTCTTGTCTCCAGCAAAGGAGAAGAGTCAGTAAGAATGGGCAGAACCACTGCCAGGTTGACACAGCTGAAAAGAACCATCGCAGCAATTTGCTAGCCTACAACAGCAAACACTCCATGTACCTATTTTACAAATGTACACTGTATAGCTATGTACTCTATGTTCATCGGCAATATATCACAAAGTGATAACAAGAACAGAAATTATTTTGCATAATTCAAGCTTCAAGTAAGGGACAAGTATTCATCAACTCTACTTATATCTGTACATAGGCTGCAGATTTAATATCTCAGGCAAGGATACAGTCTGATTTTACAACCTTTTTACAGTTAGGAAGATTTAAAACATTCCTTTGTGATAAGCTAAGCCATAGCAAGTGATTCAGCAGGGTGGTTTATCATCTTCAGCATTCCATTACTGGATACAGGCTTCATCACATCATTGTAACTGCCACTGCAACAAGGGATGTGCTACTAAATGTAAAGTGATGGTTTGGACTACCTATGGTCATGGCACAGTGTGGGTGAACTCAATTATTTTAGCCAGCATAATTTGCACAGATTTAACGAAGGGCAACTATACTGCAGATTTTGACAAAGCAAGACAGGAATTACACACAGCCATTAAAACAGGTGTCCCACCTCATCATCTTCTAAGAGATATACTTTATAATAGTTCAGCCAAATCTTTAATATGTGTATATATATATGTATACATATGCATATATATACATATTTGCAATATTCCTGCTAAACTATTATGGAAGAAGATTCAGAATACTGCTTATTATATATCAGACAATGCTGTAAAGAGAGCTCATTCAAAATTATACAATAAACTTATCAAGTAGATATTGACAGTTCTTGCAAATAATCCCTAAAATAGACCAAAAGATAGTTTAAAATTGAATTCATTACATTGCAAGTTACATAGACTTGCTTACAGCTGCTGCTGTCCAAAACCAGAAAAAACAAGAATGTCCTGCTCTTCACCTTTTTCCAGAATACCCTATGTATTTAATCATTTGCTAACAAGTTTTTCCCACACTTAATCAGAACATATCTTCCTTAGTGTTTTACAAGACCTTCTAAATAGATTTTCCTTTTTTTATTTATTTAAAGAATATATCTGATCATCCCGACTTACTACTGCCCAGGTAGCATCAAAAAGCAGTCTTGGAACATGGGGACTAATTTTAATGAATCTAAACCAGAAAATGCACTGCAAGAATATACATATGGCAACCATCAATGAGCATTCAGTCCACAAGGCAAAACTAGGGCTATTCAAAAGGAAAGCCTTCATAAATTTTGTTGTGTAGGCACTGGATCTTCAGCATCAACTGCTTCACTCCACAGATTTACTTCTATTGCACTATCCTTCATGACTACCTAGCCTTAGACTCCAATATGTTTCACACTTCAAACAGAATGTAATTTATACACAGCATTCTGCATATTTTTCAAGGTCTATAAAATTTGTAGGGTATTTTCTTAATGTAAATTCACTGGCTTATATTTATGCTAACAGATATAAACTATACAACTGTAACAAAACGGTGTGTAATTTTCCTATTGACTTATCTAAAGTATTAATTTCATATAACAAAAAATAGAGAACCTTGATCTATAATATTCACAAAATTGTCAGTTTTCTTTGCTATACCACATACCTCTAGGCTTTTTCCCAAGTGAATACTTGCCCACAGCTTTAAAGTTTTTCTTGATTAAATAACCTGAAGACACTAAGCTGACCAAGCAAAAAGAAAAGCCAGAAACTTAAGCCTATGTGTTACAAACAGTACTGAAATAGTTAGCAAAAATTTAAGTGTTTTACCAGATCACAGTTCCCAGGAAAACCCACAAAAGTTCTACAAAAGTAGTAATAAGGAATTCTTTTAAACCCACAGAAGCAAGGACTTTCTAAATGGGGACGAGGAGCCATATTCAACCAAACCTAACGCAGTAGGCATTCCAGCATGTATGGTACCATGAGACCCCCAAACATTCAAATTAATCTTCAAGCAAGAGAAAACAAAAAAAGAGCAAGGATGAGGGATTTTAAGTTATCTGTTTTGGTGCAGTAGTAAGCAATTTTTTTTTTTTTTTGGTTGCTGTTTCTGAAGTTTCAGAGTAAACCAGATGACTTCAGATTCAACTTTAGAGGAGAAAAATTACATTAGGAAAAGTTCCCACTGAACTACAGTATTACAGTCAAGTAAAGCCAAGGGCAATATACAATCCCCTGATAGCAAGCTTGTTCATTTATTTTCACTGCTCCCTGCTTTCCATTAGACATCAAATGATATCTGGGTGCCTTCATCACACAGACTTATAACCTTGCCCATCCTTCGAACATATAAATACTCTATTACTATCAACAATATTTTTAGCCTCCAATTTCTTCTTTGATGGAGTTGTGGTACTACAAATAAAATTCAATAAAGTATATACCTTATTTTGACAGATCTGATGAACTGATCTAGTATGAACTTCTGGTATCGCTGCTGCACTGCAGCCTGCATTGAGGTCAAAAACTTCCAGTGCTCGGTTGCTACCGGCTGTAAGTACAATATCTGTACAGTTCTCTGTGTTAAAGTTAATCTGATCTAAAGGTACAAAGGCACAGATAGACAACAAGACAGACATACAGGTATCAAGAGCCCGTTGTATTTACTGCTTTATGAATAGCATCAAAAATTTTACAGTCCAAAAATATTTATGTCCAGTTCTGAATTTCAATACCACAAAAAAAAAGCAGCATTTTTACTCTGATAGAAAAACAGTAGTAAAGAACCAAATTGCAATTACTTTAACTGAAGTTATTTCCATGTAATTAAGTCCAAAGAACTATAAAGAATATAAGAAATATAAAGGATACAAGAGTAGAATTCATTTACTGCTGAAAGGCTGGTGATCTCCATTGTTGAAGCCATGGGAAATGTCTGTACCAATTTGCAAACACTTCTCTGTTTATATCTGCAAAAAATATCCAGTGACTGCTAGTGTTAATGAAATAAGTCATGATTTGTGGCCACCAGTAAACTCCTATTGGAATCACAAAGCAAATCAAGATGCTCTCCTTCATTATTAAAAATAAAAGCCATAAACCTTTTGACTTGTTGCTGAACTATATTAAAAACTTGGGAACAAAACTCATTTGGATGAAAAGAAACACGATATTCATATACATTAGATAGATCTTCCGTCAACGTGAAACACTGAAATAATCATGTATGTATATTGAATCTTAAATACACCAGTTTCAGTTACATAAAAAGAAAAAGAATCACTTCATCTTCTGGAATGTTTAGAATTTATCATAACTGAAAAACTATTCTCTCTCTTACACCAAGGAGAAGAGTGGATGTCATTCAATGACCCTCTAAAATGAATCTTATATATAGCAAAAGATAAGCACCAGAAAATCTAAAGCAGTTAGAGATGGTTGCCGTTAGAATCTTGTTAGAATTTGTCTTATGACTTAGGTACTTCTTATCTAGTTTCTCATAAAAAGCAAAGAGCGTTTCAGTTCTTTGATCTAAATGCTAAAGCTCAAAGGAACCAAGCTCAGAATATTTTTGTTATTATACTGCCAAATCAGGTTTGTGTAGCCCAATTATGAAAAAAGTCTAAACTGGCCTAAAGTGGCTTGCATGAAAATAATTATTTTCTTAAACATTAACTTTCCAGAAGTACCTGAAATAATCACTCCCCTATGTATGATTAGCATGCTACATTTTAAACCCACTTAGCATGGCCTTTGCTCTATTCATCTATAATATGCTCTATTATAGTTTCCCATTTAATCAGCGTAGGGATTTTCTCATTACTTCCCTTGCTGTATGTATAATCACTACAACTAGCTGCTAAATATAAATGACTTTTAAAGGCATTATTTCTGTGAATGGAACACATTTTCCCCTTTTCAAACTCCTTTCAATTTGCTCATGCTGATCTTTAAAAGAACATATAAAACTAAAAATGAGATAACCCAAATATGCTTTGTTCCGCACATATTCATACGTGAATTAAAAATAATTAAGAAACAAACAAAAGATAAACAGCACATTATATTTCATAACAGCATGCACAACTACTGATGAGTATGGAAATTCAATAGTTAGTAATTTTGGAGAATGTAATAATAACTTAGGTTGTGGATAGTTTTCAGATTAATCGCAGAAACAGAAGTCAGGGCATCTGTATCCTATCCCCAGGACTGCAATAAATCTCCTCTATGGCATTTGTAAATAAGGATATATTTAAATACGGCAATAAGAAATATAACATTTTTTTTTCTTTTTTTCCACTTCTCAGTTTACCTTTAAAACTGAATCAATATTTAACCATTTTATTAAGTCGTTGTGATGCTTTAGTTAATTAGTTCTTTGAAAACTCTGCACAGAGAAACAGTGATTTCTCATTGTACTGTCTTCACCTCTGAAATACAGTAGCAATCTATTGGTTAGCCAGACTACACTGCCATGCCCTTCTAATTAAGGGTATAAAGCATGCTTTTGGGTTAGAAGTAGCATCTTCTTGAATTAGTTCCATTCAAACATTCTTCCAAACTTGACTCAGAAGGCAGAATGACAAGAGCTGTGAGGAAAAAAAGAAGGAATGCTGCAGTGTTCCATAAAACAAATGCTGGGAAATTAACTCAATTCACAAGAAAATGTCAAAGCAAATTAACCTTTAATACCTTTTTTATAGATAGATATACATAAGGCCTCAAACTATTTTGTGGATTTGTTGTAATGCCTACAATTGTGTGTTTGGTATTTTGGTATTACACTAACATCTCAGAGTATAAATGCACTTTTTTGAGGTAGTGTTAATAACATCAAGAAATACTGACAGCATGACAACAAAATTCTGCCATAAGCACAACCCTGCATACATACTTTGACAGCTTTAAACCAAGATTCTATATGGTCCTAACAAAGAAACTGGAACAACACAGAACACAGTACAAGTTCACTGCCCAAGTCCTTGGAAAACTGCTTGAGTGGATTCTACAATTACATCAAGTTCCATACTACTTTAAGTTTCTGAACTAACTAGCTTAAAGGTGGTTTAGACAAGTCTCCCATAACAGTAAATGCAGCATGGATTTTCCTCAGGTTCCTGGATACCTTCTCCTGGGAGGCATAGGTATTTGTTAATAAATAAATAAATAAGATACCTAGAGCCAGCACATTATATACTGCAATATCAGCTCCTTACTGAACCCTAAGCCCACACAAATACAAGGAAAAAATAAATTAACTAAATCTTAAATCTGAAAATCATTCTGATCTGAAAGATCAGAATATGGTTTTCCATCTTCTTTTTCTAAGTTCTTCCACAATCGCTTCTATAAATTTTAAGACTTATGAATGGTATGAGAGAAGCAATTGCCTGCTTCAGTTTCCAAATATTACTTGTCTGCACTATGAATAGATTTCTAGCAAAACTGGGAAAAGGAATCACTTTTCTACCCTTTCAGGTTCCTCCTGTACTGTTACACTTTGGGTTTCAGGGTTTGGGTTTGGGGTTTGTTTTGGTTTTTTTTTTCATTTTATTCTGTTAGTTTTACCCTCCTAATGTAATGTATATACTATAAAATCAAAGCAGAAAATTATCTATTTCTTAGTATTTATATTCTATCCTATTTGCTATATTCCCATTCCAAATAGAGCATATGGCTAAAATAAGAGCAACGACACCTCCTTCTATTAAGGATTTTGACCAGAAATGTAAGGTGAAGAATCACAAGTGAGAGTGGATTAACTGAAAAACCAAGCAGGTGCCTGAAAACCACAATTAGTTAGCCATTTTGAAGAATTTTTAAAAATAATTTAGATCATAATCTATTAGCTACTTTTTCAAATAAGAAGGAATTTCTGTTCTTTAAGAAGTATATATTAAAGGAGAGAGATAATTTGCCATTTTTTCTCCTTTTGTTTTATTGATAAGCATTTAACATTTCAGTGGTTGTACCTACCAGGTTCATACCTCAGTCCAGGAAAGCACTCCTATTCAAAAATGTACTTAACGCTGCGCTTAGTATGGTTTTCTGTACACTGGCAAAACTACCAAGGATATAGGCCAGTTTTTCCATCTAAGGCTGCAGCACAGTTATTTTTAATATCATGAACAGACAGAACACACCATTCACAATACTAATAGACTTCAGTGTCGCAACCTTAATTCTGTTTGTCCTTCCAGTCAAAATCTGAGGTCATAATATCAGGCAAATATCTCTTTGAGGTGTTTTTAAATGTTACTGTATTTAAACATACACATGTGTATATATATTTGAACGTAATAAAGTCTCATGTACACAAATACTGCTGAAAACCAGCAAGAGCAAATTAAGAGAAACTTAGTAAAAGGATACAAGGAGAATTTTAGCTCCAGTTAAAAACTAAAACATAGAACATATATCAGACATTCAATAAAAGAACTGATTTCAAGTGGGAAAGAAGGAACAGGACAGTAATAGGAAAAAGTGTATGAACTGTGACTCATAATCAAGAAATACAGGGACAAAATAGGATAATAAGTAATTTGATGTAACGGTTGGAAAGTCAGTGAAAATTATAAAAAAGTGATTACTTCCATTTTACAGAGAAGGAAGAAAAGTGTCAGAGCATGTTGGTGTCTCTGAAGGAAAATGTATATACAATATTCCCACAAGAGAAAGTTTTGCAACAGCTACTCAAACATAACTTCAGACATTAATTCACACTGGGACGTAAACAGGCAAAAGGTAAAGCTCAGAAGTTCCCAAATGGTAACACTAATAGTAAAATAGTATTTGCAGCAGTTAAGCTATGCACTATAAAAAAAAAATACTATATGTTTTTTCTATTATGCCAGAACAAATATGTTTTTACAATTGGCTTTTACTATTTGGTTGAGGTTTTTTTCCTTCTTTAATATTCTTGCCCCCAAGCCAATCTCACCACACACAAAATCCCAGATCAAACAGTACAAGTACTTTCACTAGTTTGTTAATGAAAAATTGTACTCGCCTTTTGAGGTCATCCTTGGTTGTGTCTGGATGGAAACTTAATACATGAAATTCAGCTCCACAACACAGCAATATAAATGCATCTATAAAATAAAACTGCGCAAAGCGTACAGTCTTATGGAACTTTTCTTTACCCTGAAATGTGAAGAAAATTATTAAGATTGGATTCTAAGATAATTAATATTTTTCCTGAGATTCCTACTGTTAAGGCATAGTTTCCGTGTTTATCCTGATCATATGCCAGGAGGTTAACCTATTGTGTAGTGGCACTTCCTATTTTTGAGATGTTAATCTCAAAGTTTTCATTCTACTTAAATTAGTTGGCAGTAAAGTCAATAGTATCTGTAGTCTATTGAATCTAACACAATCTAGCTTCACACTCAACTTCCATTTGAATTGGGGAGTAGACTACACAGTCAAGTAGAGATGAGCCAATGAATGTAGAATAAACAGAGCAGAAAATAAACCCAGAACTTCCAGACATGTCCTCTAGTTTTGTCCACCAAGGTTGGTTTCTCATTTTCATAAATTAGCATGATAAAAGCTCAATATGAAGCCATAAGGATCACCTGGATTGTAGTATCAGTTGGAATCACCACCATTCAGTAGCTCTGAAAATGAGGCTGCATATTTCTTCTACAGAGCTGTTAAAATGGAAGTAGATGAAAGTGCAAAACAGTGCCCTTTTAATAAAGTGCCCTATGAACCAAACCATACAAAGTTTCTCATTACCAGAATTAAGGCAGGTTCATTACTGCAGACTGACCAGACTCTTAAAGTTCTGTCTTCTGATGCAGAAACTAACCACTTCTTGTCATGACTCCAGCCAACAGAGTTAACAGCACCATCATGACCTAATAAAAATAATAATGGAAATGTCATAAAGGTTGTTTCTTCTGTTTATATGTTTTTCCAGATTTAATTACATTGTTTTAATATAATTATACACAATATTAAAACACATTTTAAATACAGGCTTCAAATGGTTGGATTAAAACTGGTAACAGTAAACCAGGTATTGATTTTTTTTTTTCCACCAAAAATCATGGAAAAAATCTCTCTCATTAATAATCAGACAATGATAATTCTGACATTTTCCGAAGTTATTTGAAGAGCATTTCCAAGAAACATCCGTGATGTACGATTTAAGCAAAGATACAATATTACTTGAACAGAGAAAGCGGGTATTATATTAGGATGAAATTTTATATTAAACATGATCTGGAAACAAGAACTTGCAAATACTTGCAATACTTTATTTTATTCATCAGGCTTTTACTACTGAGTTATCTGTTTTAAAAAAAAAAAACACAAAATGAACATGCCACAACAGGTTCTGCAGGACTGCCTCATTAGATTAAAAAAAAAACCAGAAATATAACTGCCTGTTTAAAATCATATTTTAAAATATTATAATCTCTAGTTAATAGCAAAAAGCTTCTGCAACAGACTTTTCCCCTTTGGTGTCACACAGTTAAAAACAAGATTAGAAACTTTCAAAGGAAGAACTTCAAAAGCCAGAAACATCATCGAGAAGCTAAAATTATTAATGTGATATAAAATTATGCTGATAAAAAAGGTTAAGAAGAACAACATACGTTAAACATGTTTAACAAACTTTGGCCCATGTTATTCAAATTTGTCCAGATGAAGTCTGATGAATTTCACCTAGCCTTAAAGCATTCAAAGTTCTTATGCTGCCCTCTTGTGCACATTTTCTCTTTAGTCAACTGAAGTTTTATATTGCTTTAAATTACAGGAAGGCTAATCAATTTATCTCAGCAATTAAGATCATCTGTGGTAATACATATCTATAAAAATGCTTATAAACAAGTTTTTTTTTAATTCCCAGTTACGGAAGTGCTGTAGAATTTTCAACAGGAAACTACACAGGTGCTTGGTAAATACATATGTAAGTACTATACTTCTTTTATTCTCAACAAAAGCATTTATTTGGAAGCTTTGGTTTTGTAAAACCATTTGGAAGCCTTGAATTACCTGCATAAAAAAAAAAAAAAAGAAAGAAAACAAAAAAACAGGAACATCAACAAAAAACCCTTACTAAAATACACAAAACAATAACACAAAAAGGGGTAAGGAACATGAGAAACTTCAGGAAAATCTGAGATTTGGAAAATGGAAGAGCCATGCAAAAAAAAAAAAGGCTTAAGAATCTCTACACTCTAGGCCCCCCAAACCCAAAGCACGTAGAGGGAGATAACTGCATGCCGGCTGGCTTGCAAGAGGCCAGTAAGCTTCCAAATAGGCATTTCTCAGGGTCCCCAGTGCTGAAGCACACTGAGAAGGACAGCAGCTGCCTTTGTAGAAAGACTTCTTCAAAAAGGCCATGCTGACTGCAACTCTTTTAAAGCTGGTCAGCATTACCTGCACTTCACTATAAGGCACACACACTTGAAGAGCCAACAGTGAACAGGAATGCAAAACTACTTAAAACTGTAACTGAGCACTTCACAGAACAAAACTGGATAGATCAGGCTTATAGCAAAACTGCTGTTGTTATACCACTGCTCTAAGGCGCACTATAAAAATGATTTTCAATAAACGGCTATATTCAGATGTCAATGCTGCCTCAAAACCAATTTTTTTTTTAGAGTACATATCAGCTATTTCTTGAAAAAGGAAAGTTTTACATTACCACTGATTGCAGCTCTGAATAAGAGTAATGCATTCTCATTTTTAATGAACAGAAAATACATTTATTATGACACTTCAAAACCAAAAGTATCTGAAGTAGAAAATAGGTGATTTCATGATAATTTGAACTATACAGAACGACATGAATGACATAAGCATGTAACTGGTGGTTTGCAGTTCCTACTGCCCTACAGAACACTATCTGACATAAGCATGCAACTGATGGTTTGCATTTCCTACTGCCCTACAGAACACTATCTAACAGTGTCACATTTACGTGGCTTTTGAAAAAAACTGTATGCACAGGTTGCACTCTTATGCTACCTAAAAAGGACAAATTAGAATTTGGTTTACACCAAATTTATGTTCTACTTCATGTTCAGAGTAGCACTGCTACAAACAAAACGACAAAGTTCTTGAAAATGATTTACATTTTAGTTTCTTCAGATTACTTAAAAAGACGTATTAATAATCTGAAGAAACAAAAAAAAATTCTTTGGGCACGACTGTTAATCTGTTGTGTGCCACTGCTGTAGTATTATTTTTACAGATGCTTGTAACAAGTAAGGGAAGGAAATACAGAATTTTTGATCTCTTTTGGTTTATTGCATTTTTTTTAAAATCCTGATCTTCTTCAGAATAATGTTCAATATATTCAAGATATATGGGGTCCCTTCAGATAAAATTACTGCTTTTGTTCCAATAAAACCTCACAACACTATTCCTGTGTGTTGTTTATATAAAATTGCACCATGAATTTGCTCAAATTAGTCTGTGATACATAAGAAAGAATAACTTCAAATAGTCTAATTCTATATTTGTTAAGGTCTGCTAGTAAATTATAGGCATCTTCCATTATGAAATTACACAGGAAGTTCATTTAATTGGATTGAGATAAAACCGTAAGATTTACTGTTCTTAAAAATTTAACAGTTCTTGCAGAAATTTAGAATTAATTTTTAAGGCTCATTTGCAATGCTAACTAATGCAATATACACAAGAATTACCATTACAACTGCCTTTATTATTTCTATTTAATTATTGTCATATACATATGCAAGCCAGATCGCATACATTGTGATAGATTATTATTTACCTCCTAAAAAATAAGAAAACCTAGTAGGCAGTTTAATTCTAGAACAAAATTAACCAATCACAGAAATTATTCTACATCTTGAATCAGCACTATCCCCTCTCCCTTGTTCTTCTCAGGGTGATATAAATGAAAACTTTTGGTTACTATGCTATTTTAGGTTAAACTTGATCATATTAAATAATTTATTAAATAATATAGTTCATAACTCTACCTGAAAAAACATTATATGTATCAGTGAGATTGGAACTGAAGATCAGCACACTTTTGTCAGCCAGGCCGCAAGCCAGCATCTCTCCATCCCCTGTAAAGAAGAGTGTCTGATGATTTACGTTTGAAAGCAAAAGACCTAATATGCTGTTTCTTTTATAATAAAAGTCACACATCAACAAAATACAGAACAGATACTTATTTCATACATTTAATACTTATTTTGTATGGACATCACAAACTCATGTTACAGAATTTGGTAGGAATTTGTACACAATTAATTTATTGTCCTGGCATAGTCTGAAAATAGTTATCCATCACACGGGATAATTTCACTTTTCACCAAAAAAAGGCTAAAAAATTTAAGTGCCATGGTCCTAATAAACCATGTCAAACAATTACTTGTTTTCTTTCTGCACACTGACAGAATTGTACATTTTATAAACCTGTACATACCAGAATACTGAATGGAACAAATTGGGGTTGGTTTACAGGTTACAGATATCTCTTTCTCATACTTGATTGGAGGACAACTTTCCAATGGATATTCGTTATTTTTACTTCAAAGAAGGAAAAAAGACAAAGAGAATAAAAATATTAAGATATCTAAACCCAGCACACTTTCATTTCACTTACAAAATAAATGTGCTTTGGGTGTTATTCTAAGCATCTTTATATAAATATTTCCAGGGAAAAATATGTTAAATCCAACATAAGAGGCAGGGTTAATTTTAAATCATCATAATTAAATTACTCCTGTTATGAATTCATGAGAATAAGAATTAACATAGATTGGTACATAAAACCGCTTAATTTTCATATCTATCTAATAAAAGTATTTAAAGAATGCAAACTCTACCTTGTTGTGACAAAAAGCAATTTGAAAATATCTTCATATGTAAAAATAAGAATTACATTGATCATTTAATCAAGATACTGAAAGAACACCACACAAAAAATACTAAGTAGCTTAACCTGTCATAAAATACCACAAACCAACCTTGAAATTATCTGAAGTGCTTATCTAATATGTGCAAGGATTATAAAAACTTAGTTTTAAGATATGGAGCAGTTTTTAACACACTAACAGGTTGCTGTTTCTTTTTTTAAGAGCATAATGATGGCACTAATTATTCTTTACATGTATATTTGTAGTACATAGATCAAAGTCTTTATATAATGCTAAAGAGAAATAAAAAGTTCCAATGGGACCTTCCAACAGACTTGTATTTATCCTCATTTTAATTTTTTCCTCCTCTAATGGAATTGTTAAATAATCTACCGTTTACAACTGGTCTTCCACTTCGATAGCCTATTTTTCTTCAGATTATTAACAGGGGAAAACATGGTCATCCTAGAAAAAAATGAACACAGATTCTCCTATATGAAATATGAAACACTGCACGAGAGAAACAGTTTATTTCAAACAAAAACCAATCCTGCTTCATTCTTACTATTCATGTCTACATGCAATGTCAGTAATTAAGATAATGTACTCATTGATGACAACATAACTTTCTAAAGATCTAATGCTCACACTTGCACCTAAGTTTTGTTTTCTGCATGTTATTTGTCGAATAATTCATTCTGAAGGTCAAAATCCATTGACATAAAGTTCTCAGATACTTCTTTCTGCAAGCTGAAGGAACAAGAGTTTAATTATGTGAAAGAGACAGAACACCTAATACAGCTATTGAAAGGAGGTTGAACACCGGCCAGAAGCTGTGAATTTTTTTTTTACAACATACTTTTTAAATTGTTTGATAACATATCTGCTTTTCATGAGTGATTAATTTTACAGTCACTAGACTACGTGTCTTTAACGTGACAAAACATCACACACCAATAAAACGTAGTAATGCATCTACTCACCCTGGTGCTGCTGTATAACCCGATGACTTAATTTTATTATGGAAAACTAATGGCTGATCTTTCACTGTGCTTTTTGTTCCTACAGTAAAATAATTTAATTTACATTAAAATGAGGGGGGTTTAACATCATTTTTTTACAGTTATGTAGATAGGCTAGTACAGTAGAAATATCTGATGTCTCCTTACGTTACAAAACATTTATTATGAGTCACTCTAAAATAAAGATTACTGAGGAAAGAAATATGAACTGTTACACTGCATAATAGTTCTCCTCCAATAATATCAATGAGAAAGAACTTCTTTAAACTCTGAATTAACAAGAATATAATTCTGTGGAAATTTTTTCATCGTTCCGTCACAAATGTGTTTTCTCAAGGCCTACTTTATGCTTTGACTTTATACACACTACCCATACTGTATTCAGACCTTATACTTGGAATATGGGATCGGTAAAAGATCATTAAAATACTGTCAGTGGGTACACATAGATGCCTGAGGTTTTACGTGACTTAAGTCATTAATAATGTCTGCATTCACACTACTGTACTAAGAAGCCTGAAGGACAGCCTCTAGCCCAAAACTAATTATGAGTACTTCACACCAGCAGAAAGTAACTAATAAAATAAATGTTGCAAAAGGGGAAATCTTGCTCATATTCCTGGGGAAAAATTTCAGGTGCATTGGGAGTGATCTCATGGACGCAGTTACGTATGCTCAGGATAGAAGCTCCTTAAACTCCCACAAGCTATCTTTTCTCTTTGAGTATCGATGAGACAAAGAAGTGCCATTCCTGGGAAGCTCACAGTACCACTTGTCATAAGAGACCATAGGACTTCCTCAGAACACCTAATCTATCTGAGTATGAGGTCTCAACATGGGTAGTACAGGTGTCAGTGCTGGGTGTCCAAAGCAGACAAATTCTGTAGATGCATTCTTGGAATATCATACAACATTAAAGATAAAACCTTTGACATTTTAATAAGTCCAACAAGTGCAATTAGTGTAGTAAAAATCAATTATTTCTACATGTCTACAGCTGCCAGTATTTTTACACCTCTCCTAAAGAAACAGTGATGAAGATAGTTATTTTGTAAGGACTTTTTGGACTTTGCTTAACTATTGCTAAGCAAACAAGCTACAGATGTTTCAACAGCAACTGGAAGTCAGATTTTTATTTTTTTTTAAACAGGAGGACAGTGAGGCCAAAATTAACTTCCTAAACTTGCAGGTATTGACAAAAGACTATTCAGGACAATAAAATTAACCATAAAAGGTAATCAAAGTCAAGAAAAAAACAACAAATTATAAGGAATAGAGTGCATGCCATGGAAAAAGAAATGAAAAAAAATGAAAAAAATGACTTACGAAAAATCTAAACATTCTACACCTTAACTCATTTAAAAACCACATAAAGTTCTTAAAGTATTGTTTTTTAAATAAGTAAAATACCTTACTACCATCATTTTCACTACAATTATATATGTATGCTATGAAACACTGCTAGAAGTATAAAATTCTTCCGACTAAAATAAAAATATAATGCAAGATATATTTAAAACAGAAATCAATATACTAGCTATATTAGGCACCAGCCAGATGTGACTTAGTTGTTTTTAATTAAAAAAATATATATATAACTGTATTAATTAATTTCAAGATTGGTTTATACTTACCAAGTTTTTTACTAGAAGGTTCTTTCATGTTTTTCTTTAAACCTTTACACAATGGAGAACTTTTCAGTAAAGAACACCTGAGTTATAAAACCAAGCACAAAAAAACAATCAACATAATGAACAAAAGCATCATATTAGGAAAAGGTGCCAAAAATTTTTAGTTATTTGTGTGCTTGCATGTATGTATATGTGTGGTACCAGTGAGATATCATAAATATAGATAAGACAGTGTATTAGTTATCAGCTCAGATATCCAGCAGCACAGGCAAGCCTTGGCCCCAAGTAGATTCATAGACCATTGCATTTACATGTTAAATCCCATTTCTGTGACTATTACCTGATGATTTTACTATAAGTACTGAAATCCACACTTCAATCATAGAAAACTTAGGGTTGGAAAGGACCTTATAGTTCCAACCCCCCCACCGTGGGCAGGGACACCTCTCATTAAATCATGTCACCCAAGGCTTTGTCCAACCTGGCCTTGAACACCACCAGGGATGGAGCATTCACAGCTTCCTTGGGCAGCCCATTCCAGTGCATCACCACCCTAACAGTAAAGAATGTCTTCCTCATATCCAATCTAAACTTCCCCTATTTAAGTTTTAACCCATTACCCCTTGTCCTATCACTACAGTCCCTAACGAAGACTCCCTTCCCAGCATTTGTTTTCCTGACAATGAAGTGCATCAGATGTTTTTGTACAGTGCTATCTGTTGGCAAGGTTTTATTTTACTTCTTTTTCTGTCATGCCTTAGTTGTATTGAGTGGGAGAAGTCACAGAATGGTTGAAATTGCAAGGCATCCATGAAATGGATGGTCATCTTGTCCAACTGCCCTGCTCAAGCAAGGATACCTGGAGTCAATTGCCAAGCACCGTGTCCAAATGAGTTTTGAATTTCTCCAAGGAGGGAGACAACACAACCTCTCTAGGCAACCTGTCTGTGCAAGTGCTCAGTCACCCTCACAGTAAAAAAGCGTTAAAAAAAAAAGAAAAAAAAAAGAAGCATTTAGTTATTTTGTACCTGGCAATAACTGATAGACTCTTCTCATTTCCACATGGGAGAAAAGCCCTCTGCTGAGTTCTCACCAATGCAGTAAGGTTAACTTCCAACACAGCAATCATATCTTCGAACATTGATGTGACCAAGCATAAAACCTGCACCAATTACGCCATCAGATCTATTTAATTCATAATTGAAGCTTCAACGCTGTATGGATGTGTATGAATTATATGGAGTATTTATAATGAAAAATTAAATCACTTTGTCACTTATGAAAATTAGCAAAAAAATCCACGAGTTTAATCTTGCAGAGCATTAAAGAGCAGGAAGTCCTTCAAAATATGCTTATGTTGCTTAAATATGTGCCTTATATCTGGAAGTCACAGAAATTCCAAAATGTTCCACAATAGAGATATTTCTGCAGTAAGAGTTGTGAGAAAAGCAGCAAACGTTGAAGAAAGATTGCATTCAGAGACATGCCGAGAACATGGTAAGAGCCGAATTTCAAACAAAATCCGTCTTTAAAAAAAAACACTGGTATGCTAAATATGTAGAAAGGCCTAGATTGAGCTCAGTTCTATAGGAAAACTCAGTTCTACAGGAAAACATCAAAAATGGACTAATCAGACAAGAATGCCTTTCAATTCCTTAAAAGCACTTTTAGTGACTTTTCACAAACATTTTTCACAACTCAAATAGTTTTCACAGATTTTTTGGAAGGATTCAAAAGTAGTTCATCCTAATATTTGTTTGAACAGGGTGTAACAGTGCTTATATCTTTTTTCTCCCCCTAAAAGATTGCCTCTGCTTCCCCAGTGGTCATTCTTGAAATTCAAGGTACACACCAAACACTATAAAAAACAATACACCTTTTGCTTATTAATCACTTTGGACAGTACACAAATTATGACAGCTTTAAATCTACGCAGCTATTGAAAATAGCAGATCCCATAAAGAAGAATCAACCCTCTCCAGAGAAGCTACTGTGTAATTCACATCAAGAAAAAGAAATGTGTACATCAATCTGCAAACAAAATGCATAAGTGGTAATTACTGAAAATGAATAGAAATGTAAACATTCGTTAAATAGATATTTATTGTATACTCACCTTTCCATTAACTGACTTCCTTGTTAATGAACATGATCTGACAAATCGAATGCTGAGGTCACTGAAATCTTTATCAAAAAGAACATAGTGCTATAAAACTGTATTTGCATTTCAAAAGAAAAAGCTATCATCTATCTCTAAGAGTGAAAAAAAAAATTACTCATACTGATTTTACACCATTATAATTCACCATCTTCAGTGTACATCCTGCTAGCTTACTTATACATTATAAAGTGGTAGAATAACATTCCTTGTGTTTAACACTCATGAACTGCAAAATTGAAATAAAAATTCATTGCTAGCCAGTACCAAAATCTAGTGCCAACACATCTTCTGAGACAAGTCAGCAATGCCAGAAAAACACAGAAATTAATTAGAATGAACATTTAGGGAAAAAAAAAAAAAAACAAAAACCAACCAAACACAAAACCCACACACAGTTTCTACTGTATTCTGCTATTTTGCAAACCAAATTGTTATACTATTTGTATCAGGTAACAAAGCAAAGCAATCACATTATGGTATGGTCAGATACCTTATAATCATACCTTTGTAAGATAAAAAAGCTTCTAATTCAAAGTTTGCCAAATTAAGTATTAACAAGCCAGTGGAGCTTCCTATCCAAAAGTACCTAGTATTCAGGGCTGAACACCTGTTAAGAAAGGAGGGAAAAAAAAATAAATCTAAGTATGATGATGAAGCTTTCCTTATTACCATACAGGACACAGCAACTGCTTTTTTTTAATACTTGTTACCTAGTCCCAATAAAACAACAATAAACACCAAAAAGGGATTTTAAATTTACAGCATTTTTATGAAATCTGTAGCACAAAGTAAAATCTTTCAATCAAAACTGACGAAGCTTTGAAAACTAAAAACAGGACACAATCATTGATTTTATGAAAGTGCTCGTGGCAAGTCTAAACCAGCATAGGAAATACTTTTCAAAAAATATCGTGGTTTGTAACAGCTGGGAGGTACTGTAAAAGCATTCTATATACAGAGAGTAAATTCAAACAAAGAGGTAAGTCCATATCTATTCTTACTTTCACCACCTGTAACATGAACATGTAAAAAATGGTGAAATTTAAAGTGTCTTTGTACATAGTTAAAGTACTAGAGAAAAAACAGCACAAACTAAGGGGGAAAAACAAACCAGGCAAGCCTGGAACATCTGTCTCAGTCTCTGCTTAGTGGCAGTAGTACTGCTGTTAAGTAATGAAACCCAGTCTTCACAAACACCAGAGTAAACCAACCGGTTACAATTTCAGTCAACACCCTCACAGAAAAAAAATGTTATCAAGCAGAAGATGATTATTACAAAATAACAGTTGTCCTTCTCAAAACTCAAAAATGTTTTGATGCCACAGTAAATAAAAATTGACATCAACATTTTAATAGATTTTCCAAACAAGAGTGAGTAAACTTATTAGTTTGATTTCTAAAGTCAGACCACAAGAGCAGAATCAAGGGTATGAAAAAATAATCAAGCTGAAACTTGGCATGAAAAGACTCACCACAGTGGCTTTTTTCTTTTCTTTTTTTTTCCCCCCTTATACAAAAAAAGGGAAGAGAAACAGTCGGATACTTTATAAAGCAGACTGGGAAAGAGTTTCAGTTCTGGTCTGTGATACTTTTATGTGCTTCATATAGTTTTATTTGTGGTTTATGTTACTTTCATGCACGGTGGTAACAGACTGATTTAATTTGTGAATCCTTTGAATTATTTCAAAGTGGCATTATAAAGTTATTATAAACAATGATATCAAGTGATAGATACAGGAAGTTGATCTCACACCCACTTTACAATAATGAAAGGCTGCGATGAAATTACTCAATGTCAAAAAGTTTATAGAAGACACATAATTTTTGGACATCAGTGTTGCAAAAATATTTCATTGTTGCATATCATTTCAGGCAGAAAAAGTGGTAAATCAGGGATTGTTCAGTTGTCCAGAAGAATCTGAGCCACCTGCTAAAACCAATACATGGTAATTTTAAAAGTGAACAGAAAAATATTATAAAAACAGAAACATAAAACCAGAAGACAATGGAACTCAATTAATAATAAGATTTTTATTGTCATGGTTGTTTATAAGCAGAACAAAACCTCCAACTGTGATGCAATAACTGAAAGGGTAAATAGTCCTTAGATGTACAATGCTAGGCAGCACCAGGTGGGTATTGGAAATTGATGTTATCTGAACTCAGAAAATTATTTCAATTAACGTATTACCAGGGGTCAATTTCAGGCAACCATGTCCAGAAAAAAAGCATTGAAAAAGAAACGAGACTGAGTCTGCCAAAAGTTTGCCTAGAACAGGTTATGTAATTTAGAAGTTATTTACATTTAGAAAGCAAACAGGCACAGGCACACAGTGACTGCATCCGACATATTTCCACGGGAATGCAAACTAAAATAAATTTGGCTTTTTAATTCTAATGGGCTTCTTCATTATTTTTTAATTGTTATTTCCCTGATCAACTGGCATCAATAGATGCTAAAACGGATATTCCCAATGCCATTTTTATAAAATTACTTTGCAAACAAGAAACCAGTTTTAACTGTGTATCACTTTGTGTATATTATCTCCCCAAACCAGACCACCAAAACTTGCAGATCACTAAAAATATTCTTTTATTCTTCCTATTGCATGTTTAAAAGAGAAAGCTGCAATGAAAATAATCCAAGAACCAATGGGAATTCCTAGGAATAGATTCCATCCAAGTATTTGGTGGTATTTTAAGGGACTTACATGTTCTCTTCATTATGGAAACACACCAAAAAGTCACAGTGTTCAATTAAGAGGATAGGTAATGATGTTTCCACTGATCCTTCTGGTCTCATGGGTTTTGCTCTGCAAAGCTTGGAAGTATTTTGCCCTTCACCTAAGAAATATAATCAACACTAGCTATCAAAAAACAATGGACTAAGGGAAAGAGTTAGGATTTAATAGAGAATTTGAAGGAATAAAGTACTATAAATAAATATAGCACTATAAATATAAAAATAAATTACTATAAAGGAATAAGGTAGCACGAACTAACTCCACACTCCAGAAGTTTCTATTTCAACAGACTGATATAGCCTAAGACAGCCCTCTTGAAATATCCTCATTACTATGCTTTTTTTAGTACAGTCTTCTTTCAAATACCTAGAGATACAAATCTAAAGAGCCTACTTATGTACCAAAAAGCAGTTGGCAAAATTCAGATGTGTCCATCTCAAAAAGCCATATTCTAACAACCCTTAAATATGCTGGGCAACTTTCCACTTAGTCTGAAAACTCCCTTGACCCTAAAGTTATAACATAATCCAAAACCAAGTTGGAAAGTCACCACTATTTTCATCCTCCCAAGAAGTCTCCATCGATTATGCATACGCAGTTAAAACCTAGGAATGACTAGCACTGAATTCATCATTAGACACAGCCACTATATCACTCTCTTTCAAACATCCAAATATGAAAGTGCCATCCATATATTTTAAATAATCACAAGAAATGTAGCAGTCTTTCTCATTAGATCAGGACCTTAGAATTGTTGAAGCTGGACCGCTAAGAACGCAACAGTCATTGAATCCAGAAAAAGAGCAAGCAAGGAAAACCAGATCTCCCTTTCCCTAAAGAAAGCTTCCTCTTGCTTGCCTTTCAGAGGACCTGATCTCACTTCATGTGGGGTGCAGGTAGTCTGAATGCCTCATTTGGGAACATGAAATCACCTTGCTGAGGTGACCAAATGCAGTCTTTTGTAAGTACTCTGCATTATACCACCGGAAATACCACAGCCAGAGAAATATCATACCATGGAGGCGTTAGTATGGATTTAAACAAAAAAAAAAAAAAAAAGAAAAGAAAAGGAAAGTTTCCTAGAAGTATCAAATGTAGCTGAGAAATGGTATCCCACTTAGACAACAGATTAATTTTTAGGCACCCATTCTGTTCTCACTAAAGTCTTGGTCAATTAATTCAGTAAAAACCAAATACTTTATAGTTCACATCCTGCAATGTTTTATAAGCAGATGCATTACCCAAGATTTTATTACACACATACAAGCTTAATTCTTTCCAGATATGTCATATAATTCTTTCCAGATACGCGAATACCCCACTTCACATCAGCTTCAGTAAGAATTCCATGCCACAGTCTGAGACTCGTAACTATCACTTATAAAAAATTCTCGTTGTATGAAAAGCATACAGTCAGTAGCCAATAACAACTAGACTATACCATAAACAGCATTCTAAAAGCAATGTGCTACCTATTTCTTTTCCAGATTTCAACATTTCAGTATAGAATTTCTCTTGCTTTTTCTTTAAGTTGATATGTGTTACACAACGGTAATTATGATCACTGATTAAACTGAAGATCCAAAGCTGCAAAAAAAAAGAAAAAGCAATTGCAATAACCTTTTGACAGTAAACATAAAGCTTACATGAATACAAACTAAAGGTCAGATATAAAACTATACATGTAACTGTTGAATTTTTGTATCTGTAATCTGAACTTGGATGAAAAATTCAATTATATGCATTTTTAAGATTATTAAAGAAGATATTCAATATTAGCAGAAGCAGTCATTATAAAGCTCATTATATGAGCTGCACATCTAATTCCCATATTTATGTCTTTGGAAAAAAAAAGCCTCACAGGCTATTTTCCACATTAAAAAGAACAAGTAATCTGCATGTAATTGTTCACTGAATAATGTACAACAATATTTCATTTATACCTCTCTGATTTTAGGCAGCACTATAGTTAAATCTTTAACTTCCTTCACAATTCACTGAACAATAACACTGAAGGAAAGTAACTGGAAAATCTTATGTAAATATATTCTTAACATTAAATTAAAGAGCAGGTAAAATGCATATTCATATTTATCACATTTTTATTAGAATTTCAACATGCAGAAATCATAGTCTCTTCCATTTACTGTCATGTGTTTCATTCCTTAGCTAGAACAGAAGAATCCTATTTTTCACCTTTTTGATTTTGAAACAGATATATTTATAGCCTGTCAGTGTACTCTTCTTATATAAACACTGACTGTGCTCTTAAACACTTTCCTGGTTTTCAGAAGAAAGTTTCCATTTTGTAATAGAAGTCTTATATGCCATTTATGGTTTGTGCTCAAAGCATTGAATTATACCTAAAAAAGTAACTGTTGTAACAATTCAAAACAAATATGCAGATTATGAAGCTTTTTTATAGACAGATACATTAACAGTAGATGACTATTTTGACAGAGACTTTTCTGGGTAATTCTCACCTGTCCCTCAGAACATCCAGTGATAATTTGTTTATTTTCTTCATCAACCAGCAGACTTAGCAAAGGAAATGCTGGTTCAAAAAAAGATGATAGAATTATTTCCAGAGTAGACACAAATCAGATATGCAACTCAAATTGAATCCTCCTGTTTATAAAAATGAGTAGAAAAAAAACTCTTACTGCAATTCCTATGGTTGCACAATACTTTGTCCGGCTAAGGGCTTTCCATTCACAGGTCTACAGTCTGCTTTCCACCCACACTGCCACAGCAGTGATTTTCTGCAACCTTTCACCCATGCTGCTGTGGTATGGTTTTCAGAGCCCCATGTGGCAGCTTTCATTCCCCTGCTGTTCCTCTCAAGGCCTCCACCTGCAAACCCTGATTGCAGTTGGGGCAGGTTTTCAAGGGAAGCAACTGCCACAGCCAACCAGGGTAGAATCCCCCCTTCTTCCTCTCCTTTCCTACCATGTGGTGTTAGCTTTTAGTTTACATGAGACAGTTCAATAATACATATGCACAAAGCTTAACAACCAGTCTCCTCACAGCTCATGCCCCAGAATGTGCTCCAATAACCACTAGCAGCACCACAATCAGGCACAATCAAAGGCGAGTTGGCTCAAATCCCATTGAAAACTACATGTTTCTTATGTGGAAAGTACTATTGGAGGATGAAGTCCTGCTGCACTGGAAACAATGCTTGTCCTCCTCCTCCTCTTATCTTGCCACAAAAGTAGCTTTCACCTTTAAAGTCAACATATGCCATCAGCTGCAGACACTGCTAATAGATCTACATATGACATAGTATTTCTTTCTATGTCATATATAAGACTGAAAGAAAACAAGCACATAGTACTCAGAGAGCAGAACTGTACCTACAAATAGACAGCTTCATTTGCTTATCTCAGTAAAATGGCAACAGCTACATGCACACCCTGTACAAAAAGAGCTGTTTATAAAAGTATACTAAATCTACCCAGAAGTACACATTAAAGGAAAATATATTTACTACTGGCTTTAAAGGATATGTTTACTACTACCTAGTCTACTAGAATTATTTTCACTAAATCATCTAAATACTTCTATAATAATTGTGTGTTATTGTTTAGGGAAAACAATTTTTTGCTATGAAAAAGCATATATAAAAATAAAACTTACCTGTTAATACTCCTGACTGATGTATTAACTGGCCGGTGGCATAGTCCCACACCTTTAGGGAAAAAAAAATATATAGTCAACTACTTAGATCCTTAAGGAAAACAAACTTCAAAGGCCATCGTGTGGTGAAAACGGAAAAATGCAGCCACTAAAGGTGATGCAACACGGTAAGGGCTTCTTTCAGCATTTTTTAATAACTACAAAGAGATTTGCTTAATTGCTAAGTATCTACAGTGGAAAAGGTGAAACTCACCTGGTAAGGATACACAAAGTACTTAGAATACTTATCATCTTTGCTTAGGTGACTTAAGCTAAATCAATGAAAATACACACTTGAACTGGTTCTAAATTTCACACAGGGACCTTGCATAATGTCATAGTTTTCATACTGAGCTCAGGAATAACAGCTATAGACACATATAAGTCAGCTTTCTTTATTAACAAGACAAAGTGATGAATTCTGTGCTTAATAGTCAATTAAGATAGCCAAATAAAACCAAATTTTTCCTCTTGTTACCTCTACGAGCCTTCCTCTCCACAAATACTTTCACTACATTATTATAGTTATCACAGCTGCGATTGAAAAAGTCACAGCCAGACAGTCCCTGCTCTTTTAAAGTGCAACTATGCAATTTCCTTACCTTAAAGGTTCTGTCTTCTGACACTGATATAAGCATACTTTTCTCCCATGTACAAAACTCAGCAGCAGTCACTGGAGCCAGGTGGCCATCCAGTTCAGCTAGTATAGCTTCCTTCTGTGATAAGTCAAAACAAAAAGAGATTATATTTCAAACTAAAAATTAGAATTAGTTAAACATTTTAATAATTAATAACAGTTGCTAAGAATTGTGAGATTTGGATACAAAATATTATATCAATAAGATTTTTCTTTTGAAACTGCAGCCCTGTATATTATCCTGTGAGAAAACCACACATTTACATTTTCTTCTTCAGAATGAATGATATAGGAGTAACTTTTCAGATCTCCTCAGAATGTTTTCTTCTTGTAAGTTACTGCAACACAAATTCAATTTTTTAATCTAGTCTTCTACCTGGTGTATGATGCATTATGAAGCATTAGTTCATACTTATTGTCATCTATATGAGAAAAAAATGAATGCTTTTGTTTAATTATGCTAATATTTCCGTATCATGATTTTATTTGAAAGTAAGTTTAAAAAATACCAGCACCATATCAACAAAGAATGGAGTCTCACCTTTGCACTTAACATGCAGATCTGATTTCCAGCACATACTGCCACTTGTTGATCATCCAGACTAAATCTTACATGAAGTACCGTTCCCAGAAGAGTTCCAATAACAACTCCTTGAGGTGTTAATCCTGCAGCAATTTCATTGTTAGGGAGACTCACTGAAATATAAAACTCTAGTGCAGTGAGATTCTTAGAAACTTTTGCCTAACCACAGTGCTATCCCAGTGTGTGTCAGGAAGCTCTACCGAACAAACCACAGCTTTATTGTACCAGACTATTGGAAAGCAAAGCACAGTACTATGTACCAGTAAGATTCCTCCGTTTGCCCTGTTGCCTGGACATGACGTGGTACTCTTTGAAACACTAATAAAAAGTGTGCCTATCAAATCATACTTCCATGGAAGATTGCCAGGGACAGGACTTTTGGAGTAGGGTTATATGCCCAAGGAACCTGATAGTACCATGTTCATTTTAAAGGCAAGAAATCCTGACAGGCATCATCATATAAAATGACTGAAGCCCAGGAAAACAGGCATTTGAAAAATACTTCTTCCAGTACAATATCCCAGACATTCAGCTATCAAGCAAGGGAGACTTTCCTTTTCCTGGTTTTAATTCTTCTGTGCGCTGAAAGAGGAAGTACACCACTAAATATCATTACAGACTCAGATGGTAAGACTAGTTTTGAGAACAGGCTCATGTTTCATCCCTCTCTTCATAGTTTCATTCTGGTCATCTCACTTCTTCAAACAGCCTGGTTTCTGCAGTTCCCAGTTTTAGGATGCTACCTTTAAGAGTGTGAAAAGGTTTCAGACATCTCATTAAATTTCAGGATTTCACAGGCAACAAATTAACTAGGATACAGGCACAACAACTATAGGTGTCCTTTTATAGGTTTTATTCTAGATGCTATGGAGTGCTTCTACAGCTGATTAATAAGTCAAGATATAGCAGGATGGAGAGATGGATCAAACACCTCGATACAGTTGTTAAGAATATGGTCAGAGAAAACATGCCAAGATTGTGTAGAACACAGTCTGGGGAAAGAAAGCCTGTAGATAGAAAAAAGAAAAAGAAGCAAGCCAGAAGCAGAGAATCTGGCTTTCAAAAGTCTTTGTGCTAAAACTACATGACTCCTTTTCTTTGTTTTTCAGCATTCCCCTACTTTCCAAACAATTTAAGCTTGAAGAGGGGTTAGAACTGATCCTTAGAATCTAACTCCATTGGCTGAGGCTCCAAACCAAGCAAGTAGTTAGGACACTAGAACTTCGGCTTCCTTTGTTTAATGCCATCACAGCTCTCTTTCATGCATGCACTCTGCTCCCAGATCCCTGCATTGCTCACACACACACACCAGTGTTCCAGAGAGAGGCAGAACGAGAGACAAAGCAGAATGTAAAACACTAGTTCTATAGATATTCCAGAAAAGGCAGCATTCGGTTATTCTGGCATTTTATGTTCAGTTACGCAGTGCTACTGTGATTAATTTTTTTTCCCGTCCGTGTTTTTCCACAGTGGCAGAACTCCCTCCCGTTTCCCCGCCTGTCTCCAGCGATCGCCTACTCCTGCCCAGCACCTCGGCCAGCTCCCGGGGTCGCCCCGGCAGTGCACGGCGTCCACCGCAGGGCTGCACGGCCCAGCGGCCGCGAGGGGTGACCCCGGCAGTTCCAGAAGGTACAGTGAGCAGGCTAGCTGGGCCGCTGCCCTGATGGCGCTTGGAACTGCCGGAGAGAAGCAGCAGAGAAGTAAGCACTCTTTATTGGTGCTGGGGCTGCTGAACCTGAGTGGCTAACACCTGCTCCTCAGAAATAACCATCTCTTTATACAAGTAGTACTGGAAGAAAGGGTGGTACTGGGGGGTCATCTTATAACGTGGCCATTGCTCAGAGACTGGCTGGGCCTTGGTCTGTTTGTAGGAGGTGGTGAGTTATTGCTTTTGCACTTCTTTTTTATATATACAACATGTATAGATTATATAAACAGTACTCTACCTTCTTGCACCTTCTGTGTGCATTCATCAAGATTCCACACTATCACACGTTCACGAGATGCAGAGCAGACAAGAAGGGGGTTGGTTTTACTTCCAAATGACAATGCAGAAATTGGGTAATGATGTCCTGACAAAAGTAATGGCTGACAAATGTACATAAAGAAGAGTTAAATGAGTCACCTCAAACAAAGGTTATGACAAAATTACAAATGGATCATGTACATGCAATTAACAAGACAACAACTATTTTTCTTTATTGTTTCAAAACCACTTAATCAGCTGCAGTGTACAGGGTTTGGCTGGGATGGGGCTCACTTTCTTCATAGCAGCTTGCATGGTGCAGTGCTTTGGATTTTGTAATGAAACCCAGTGATAACCTGAAACAGAGTTTTGGCTGTTGCACAGCATGAAGACTTTATGAAGGCTTTCTCTTTTCCCACTCTGTCCCAGCCCCAAACTGCCCCAGCAAATAGGAGGGAGGGAGGGAAAACAGCTTTAACAGCTTACCCAAACTGGCAAAGGGATAATCCCTATGATATGATGTTGTGCTCAGCAATAAAACTGGGGTATTGGATAAAGAAGGTGTTGGGGACAGGAGGGAGTGTGTCTTCTAAGGTGGCCATTGCTTGAAACTTGTATGGGGATTGGTCTGCTTGTAGGAACTGGTGAGTGACTGCCTTTGTATCACTTTTTCCCTCTTTCCTTCACTCGTTAAACTAGCTTCCGTAGTTTATCATCGGGGCCCATGACTTCTCACTTCTGCCTATCTGGTTCTCCCTCCAAGCCTGCTGGGAAGGAGTGAGCCTGAGACTGGCTGGTAGTTTAGCTGCCAGACACCACAGTTTACATTATTCTCATCACGGAAACAAAGCTTTATAACAAAAGCTAGTCTCTTTACAGCACTAGAGTCAAACCCTCACTCCTACACTGCCCTCAGATATTTTTATACCTTCCTTAAGAGGTATAAACAGCCACCTTCTGAAATAGCAGCCTGTGGAGGGATGTGGTTTGGGTTTACCTGAGCAGTCACTGTATTCCAGACGCATAACTCATTTTGATTCAAAGGGAAAGCGCAGTGATGGTGACTACACGCCAGCTGAACGAGGGACTCTGACAGTTCGGACCTAAACAACTGTTTTTCGCAGACAACGTCAGGATCGCAGCTTCCTCCAGAAGCACATCCGTCCCAGTCGCTTTCCATCCTACGGCGGGGCACCGGATTCGCCTCACCGGCTGTGTCCTGATCCCCTAGTAGCGGCACCCTTACACGGGGAGGCGGAGGGGCCCGCCCGGCTCCGCGCCCCGCCGACAGCACAACACGGGCTCCGCTTCACCGGCCCCGCCGCACAACAGCCGGCCCGTAACCAGGGCAGCGGCTCCGCCGACGGGTCGCCGAGCGGGACAAAACCTCCCTCGCCCGCAGACCGCGATGGGCCCAGGCGGCCGCCTCCCTCGGGGACCTCTAGCCCATCTGCGGCACCGGGCAAAGTCCCCTTGCCTGGGCCAACTGTCCTTTTTACAAGGACATGTAGGGATAGGACAAGGGGGAACGGCTTTAAACTGACAGAAGGAAGATTTATATTAGACATTAGGAATAAATTCTTCATTGTGAGGGTGGTGGGGCACTGGCACAGGTTGCCCAGAGAACCTGTGGCTGCCCCATCCCTGGCAGTGCTCAAGGCCAGGTTGGATGGGGTTTTGAGCAATCTGGTCTAGTGGAAGGTGTCGCTGCCCGAGGCAGGGGGCGTGGAACTGGATTAACTTTAAAGTCCCTTCCAACCCAAACCATTCTGTGGTTCTTTGTTACAGTGGGCACAGCATGGACCAGCTCATGACAGTGTGTGAAGCATCACTGAGAAGAAAAACAAACCTCTTGCTCTCACCAAGTTTGTGGGTGATGGGAAGCAGTCACCAAGGGGGTGGGCAGGGCTGGCAGTCAGAGGGACTCATCAGGCATGAGAAATTGCTAACAAAAATCTCATGGAGTCCAACAATAGTAAATGCAGAGTCCTGCGTCTGGCACAGGGTAGACCATGCAGGAGGGCAAGCTGAAGGCTGTCTGTCTGGGAAGAAGCTCTCCAGAAAATGATCCAAAGATCCTGCTGGACAAGCTGAATATGAGTCATCTCTGCACCCTTGCAGCAGAGGCAGCCAGCTGCATCCTTCAGCCTGGAGAAGAGACCTTACTGGTCCCTACCTAATGGGAGGATGCAGGGAAGTTGGAGCTAGACTCTTTTCAGAGGCAATCAGTGGTAAGACAAGCTGGAACCTGGGAAAATCCAATTAGATGTCAGGAATTTTTATTTACTTATTTATTTTAAATACCATGAGGGTGGTTGAATATTCAAACAAGTTTCTAAAGAGAGGTGGTGGATCGCTAAACCTGGAGTTGTCCAAGAGTCACATGGATATGGCCTTGAGCAACCTGATTTAATTAGACCTGTTCTGAACAGGAAGTTGGAGAAGTCTGAAAGTCCCTTTCATCCCAAGTTATGATTCTATGATCAAGATTTTGATCCACCAACTTAAACCATTTTGGTGCAGGTCAATCTGCAGACTCAGCATCCACCTCAACTGCATTTCAAACAGATACTTTCTACAGGAATGTCTTTCTTGTAACTGTCTGTAATTAACAGTACAAGCATTTTTGCACTGTATGACCACCTAATTTATATTATCATTGACAATACAACCCCCTTTTATTAGTTTTGCCTGGAGAAAGTACCTATCCAAATTCTCTTTCATGTGTCCTTGTGAATTTGGATAAAACCACCGTACTGAGCACTGGCCACAAAGCAGTAACTCAGTGTACTGCATAGGACAGTATTTCTTTTCTGAACTGTAACTCATGGATAAGAATACTAGTGAAAAAAATTCACTGTAATTTGCTGATGACAGTTTCCATGACTGATACAGTCATGAATGTGTCATGACAGTTTAGGTATCAGTATAGAAAAATAAACACCAGTAGAGAAAAAAAGGTGTTGTTCAGACAGGGAAACAACCCTTAGGAGTAAACAACTTGTTCTGAAACATGGTGTGCCTTTGTCCATAACTGTTCCTAGGCAGTTTAGCATGTTTCTCCCCAGTTCTTTTCACTATGGTTTATTTTCATGTTAAAAGTATTGTAGCTACAACAACCCCCTGTCCATAACAACTAGGGAACTAGTAAGATCAAAAAAAGTATTTGAGACCTTGGTCTGATTTCTTGACTGATCAAACAGGGGTTAGAATACCAGCTCCTTTCCTGCAGCTGGACCCTCAGCCAGCAGCATCAACCTCATGGAGACAGATTCAGACAGGTGCAAATCATCAGTGATTTTTGCTTTCCAATAGATGCTGTTACTTCTCAGTAGCTAAAACACCGCTCATCCAAGAATGACAAGAAGCAGATTTCTGCCCTTTTGGCACAAGGTGACAGCTGCATGTGAATACTAGTGATAGTGTGAGCGTGCAGTGAGAAATTTATATCACACGCCCATAAAGCACACTTCCTGCCACATCCCTTTTCTGTGCAACAGGATGCTCAAAGATCTTGGCTCCGGCATGTTCCCTCAGCTCGGCTATCCATCCATTTCTGATTGAACTGACAGACATGTGAAAAAAGGGTCATTTTAGCCAAACAGCAGTTCACTATCATAGCAGTTTTTTCTATCATAGCATATTTCTATTGGTCTCAATATTCTTCAAAGCTCTCTAACTTCATAAACACTAGGTAACACATCCTATCAAATCATACGTCAAACTAACAGGCTGCATAAACTTGCCAAATGTAGATTCTGTTACATCTGAGTTTTATTAAATCAATTTAAATCTTTCAAACAGGCTTATCAACTGCTTAGTACACACTGAAATATTAAAACTGGTAAATTTCATTATTTAAAGTTGTTCTATCACTGGTTACTTAGGTAAAGAGACCAGCCATCTCTTCACTCCGTCCCCCCTTCAGGTAGCTCTAGAGAATAATAAGGTCGCCCCTGAGCCTTCTCTTCTTCAGCTCTCCCCAGCTGCCTCAGCCGGTCCTCATAAGACTTGTGCACCAGGCCCTCCACCAGCTTCGTTGCCCTCCCTGGACCTGCTCCACCAACTCTATGTCTGTCTTGCGGTGAGGGTGAGCACAGTATCTGAGGTGCAGCCTCCCCAATACAAAGTACGGGGGATGGTCATTACCCTAGTCCTGCCACAGCCCACCGACCCAGCCTGCCCAGACTCCTCTGCAGAGCCTTCCAACCGCCGCACTCCGCCACAGCTCCGCACCGAGGGGGCACAGCAGCATCCCTGCGGCCCGCGGCCCCGCCGGCTCTGTGGGCGCGTATGTGTGCACCGGGTAGTGCGCGTTGCCGTGGGGACGCCCCCCGCCGTCCGCTCTCGCGATAGCTGGGAGAGGTGGGAACGCTCCTCCCCGCCCCTTCGGGGAGGTAGGGCGGGCTGGGGCTGGAGTGCTCGGCGGTGCGGGCTGAGCGCCGGGCCTCGTTGGTCTGTGAGGGGGGGCGGTGCGGAGGCCTTGTCCCGTCCGTCTCCAGCCAGCCTCCTCCGCTGGTAGCCGCCCTTGCGGGGCCGGGCTCGGCTCCGGGGTGTGCAGGGGCCGGCCGGCGCCTCGGGGGCCGCCTCCGTGCCAGCCCGCCCCGGGGAGGGGCTCTTCCGCGGCGCCCCGGCCGCGCTGTGCTGCCGCACGTCCGCGGAGCCCGCTGCTGTGCCTCGCCGCGGCCTCGCCGTGCCGGAGCCCCTCGGCCGGTCAGAGGTGAGCCGTGCCCCAGCTGTCTGTCGGCGGAGGGTGGCGGGGGTCAGCGGGGCGGGCAGCTCTCCAAACCGCGGCCCTTCGCAGGTGCTGTTGCACTCCGGAGCGGCGCCTGGTGTCCTTCGGTAACTTCATCGTTCGCCGCTCAGGAGCGGAGCCGTGCGTCTCCCCGCGCGGGTACCTCACCGTCGCTTCGGTTTGAAAGTGGCCGAGGGTCAGTCCCCCGATATGGGGAGGCAGAAGAGTGTTTTTTAATGTCGCTGTTGAGGGTGTTGTGTCGTCTGGGCAAGTTCTGCGAATGCTGTGAGGATTGCTTTTATGCCGTCTGTGCTCAATTGTGGCCTTGTATAGAGGCCTCCGGGGCAGCAAATGCGGAGCTAAAGAAATACTCTCAGCTTTTTCCCTTGTTGTGTTTAGCTGTAAAACCTCTTAAGGTTTAAGTGACATCGCAGTGGAAGCAGTTTGTTTCGATGCCAGCAGGGTACAAAACAGGCTTGCAGCTTTCATGTTTGACACTGTAGTGTCCTAATGGAAGGAATGAAGGGATGAGAAGCTTCCTCTTAAACCTGGAAGTGTGTATGTCTACGTGTGGCTGTTGTACTTGAGTGTGACCGCATGTCACAGTCAAGTACACAGTCAGCTGTGTACTTTGGAAGCTGTCAGAAGGGTTCACAAGTTGCGTCTGAACAGTTGCATTAAGTTTCTGCTGCAAAGAGCTGAGTGCTTGTGCGGCAACAGGATCTCTAGGAAACTCCTCTTTTCACGGGTAATATGCCAAGTTTAGTCCTAGAAACAATCACACAGTAGCATCATATCTGAATGTGTTAATTCAGTAGATAACTCGGTTTTATTTCTAATTCCATTCCCGGTGCAAGTCAGAGTGCGTACTGCTTCTTGTGTGTGCCCAGGTTTACACCTTTACTGCCCTTGGAAGTTAAGATGAGTGGATGGGGGAACGAATAGGATCCTCTGAACACCTGAACAGGTTGAACTTCTTCAAGCATACAACAGCATTCTTTTTAACTGCTTTTTTTTTTAAACAGGCTAAAATCATTATTGGGTTTCATCTCAGTCAAATGTATCAGCTATGCAGGTAGAATAAAACTAATGGCCCTGTGTCAGTCCTGGATGATAAAACATCTACCTGCTTGATTAATTCCTGTTTAACTTCATTAAGAAATTCAGGCCACTTTAATCCAACAGAGCTCTGAATCTTAGCAATGAGGTTTTCTTACTAAAACCAGAAAAGTTAATGAACATACTTAATTAAAGTTGCTTAACTGTGTGTGGACTAGAGAACTTATAAAAATTACCAAGTTAAATTTGATTCCTTCCAAGAAGGGTATATACTGAAATCTGAATTATGTTTTGTATTCAGAAGGAGGAGACAAGAACAGGAGAAAGGAAGAGTCTGAATATAGCTCCAGACCATGGCGGCACGCTGGAAAAGAATCCTGATGATTTTTGTAGCAGCTCAAGTACTCGTTGTGGTAAATGCCTTCGAGGAAGAGGATGTACCTGAAGAATGGGTCCTTCTCCATGTTGTTCAGGGTCAGATTGGAGCAGGCAACTACAGCTATTTGAGACTAAATCATGAGGGAAAGATCGTGCTTCAGATGCGGAGTTTAAAAGGTGATGCAGACTTGTACGTATCTGACATGACACTTCACCCCAGCTTTGACGAGTACGAGTTACAGTCTGTAACCTGTGGCCAGGATGTTGTCCACGTACCGGCGCACTTCCGCCGCCCAGTGGGAATAGGGATTTATGGCCACCCCTCTCACTTGGAGAGCGAGTTTGAAATGAAAGTGTACTATGATCGGACAGTTGTACAGTACCCATCTGGTGAGGCTTCTTACAACCCTGAGGAGATGGAGGCCAACCAGAAATACTCACAGTCTACAGAAGATGAGTCTCAGGACGAGGAGTCTGTTTTCTGGACTATACTGATTGGAATCTTGAAATTAATACTTGAAATTCTTTTTTAAATTGACGCACACTGGGCTAAGTCACATTTCAGCCTGTGAAATTGAACATGAATGACTTGCTGTGATATTTAATACACTTTGTAATGGTTCCTGAAGAGGTATTCAGGTTATTTTTCCTAAACCATAAAGGAAGTGGGGGAAAAAGCCATATTTAATTTTATATTGTAAATCCTCCCTCCCCTATACATAAAATGAGCAGTGAGTACAGTATTTGCAGTGTTCTTCAGAGATCAGGGCTTAAAAACAAATGTACAGTTGGGATCTTGTTAAATTAACTTTGAACAGGTGCTTAGGAAAATCAACTCTGATTCAGTATTTTCTATTCTTTTTATAAAGAAAAGTAAAATTAAGTGCTGTACTTCAGGGCCACTCTCAATCTAGTGCATGGTTAAAAATAAAATCTACTTCTGAGCAAGGATCTCCAGTATAATTAGCAATGAGGCTTGAGTACATTGAAGCTGAGGAGCCGAGGGCGAAGGGAGGAAAAACCTCTCAATCGTCTAGGGGGATAGATGATCTGTATTTTGCCTGCTTGTGCTCTACATCATGCCAAGCAGAGATCTGTCCAGTCACTCATCACTTCTGCAAAGCCACCACCCAAACTGAATGCGTGTCACTTCTCTGCTGTCACTGTGAGCTGTCAGCTGTTGTTGTCAGTAGGGTGGTTTTGTTCCTCCTTAAAAGCGATGCACTGTAAGGTATCTTGAACTTGGGAGGTGTTTTCTTACACCTCCCCTGATAGCTTGTTGTGATTGATTGTTTGGTTTTCTTTTTTTAGAACATCTTTATGAATAAGTCATGAGCTTGCAAAGAAAACTTCTGCTGAGTGTGCAGTCGGCTGTAAGAAGGTCAGGCTGTGCCCACTCTTTGTTGAAAATCGGTTTTGCCAGGAATAGTTTTTGCCTTGGTTGAGTCTTTCAGAATAACCAGTTGCTATGCAAATAGTGGGTATTGAAGTTGCTCTGTAATTTTCTCTTCACAGAGCTTACTGATGAGTGCACTGAGATAAACAAGTACATTACTATAACTTTATGCAAACGGTGCATGTACAATTTAAATTTCATTACCAAAAGCCTTCTCTTTTTGAGTGGGAATTTGATTTGTCTGTCTCTATCCAGACATCCGACAGGATGGGATTAGTGATTTGTATCACAAAAAAAAGTCATTATATAGACAAAATTAAGAGTTTATTTGGTAAAAAGCTAAAAAAAAAAAAAACACAACACCAAAAAGAAGTGGTATTGTTCCTCTTAGAGTGGTTGGTTAAATAGCACCAAAGTATTACTTCAGTTTGTGCAGTTTTGGACAGCAAGGTTTTGGGGGTTTTAGCCCTCCTTGCTGGTTTTCCCCCTTCTTCCTCCTCTTCTTGGTACGGGAGAGTCTTTCTGACAACAATCACAAATCCAGCGACCTAAGAAAAGAAAGTTATCAATTATTGGGAAACTTTGTTACTCACCCGCCTAGTTATGCACCTTTCACCACTCTTTATCAGTGCTCATCTGTTGGCAGTACTTCCTTCAATGTAAACAGCCAGTGCTTTGCTTTGAAATGCAAACACCTTTGGAGAAGGTGCTGAAAGCAGTGTGTGCAGTGTGCCCTCCCTTGTGGATTCTTGATGTGTAACAACTGGCTACACCGATCTGTGGACCTCAGGAAGCTCCAGCACTGCTAAGGAGGTGGATTATTAGGAAAGAACCTGATGAACGATGCTTCGCGTTTGCGGATTGTTTTGACGTGAATGACCCATGGCCCAAGGTGAATGAACAGCAGCTGGGGAGCATTGCTCTCCTGCTGCAGGTATGCGGTCCTGTTCCTCAAACCAGTGCCTGTTATTTGAGCGCAGTCAGGCAGCAGAGACAACTGCTGGCAGGGCTTCATTACTAGACCTTGTACTGAAAATTACTGACCCTCAAAAAAGGGTTGAGCAAAGAGCAGAAGTATTTAACTGTTTGTATTACAGCAGCTGCAATCATAAGGGCTGCTTTGGTAATTTCATTGTCTAGCAGGCGTATAATCTGTTTCGTTTAGATTCTGTCCTTACGTCAGCCTGAAATGGGCCACAGAACCTGTACTAAGGTGACAGCTAGTGCCAGTGCTTCCCAAAATGGGAATGTACCACATATTTGGAGCACTGTACTTACAGGGGATTCTGTTGCTGCACAACTCACAGCCACTGTGCACTTATTCATGAATTTACTTACCATAGATTTAGTATTACACAAAAAGCAACAGTACCACCAGTTATTTTCTTTACACTGCCTTGAGCTGGCTAGCTGATAACAAATGACCAAGTAATTTTAAGGTACAGGCTGCCTGACATCTAGGTACTGCATTCCAGCTTTGATGTTTAAGAAAAAAAGGAAGGAATGGGTTTAAAAAGATGTTTACAAATACTAAATTGAGTGTACTTTTTAATTTAGAAACTGACGTGATAGCACAAACACTTTGTTAATGTGAAAGCTATACTCCAGCAATATGCAGCAATACAGCCTTTTTACAGGTTTCTTTTATGAAGAGAGGTAATTATTCTCAGTATTCTGTGGATTTGGGGGAAAAAAACCCCTAGTTCTGAGTGAGTCTGTTTGGATTCTGTTGTACAAGCCAATTCTATTTCCTATACAGGAATGGCCAGGTTAAACTGCACAACCAAATATACCAAAATAAAGCTTATTAAAAAAAATTGTATCCTATGGTGTGCTTTCCTACAGCACTTCTCACTCCTACTGTTCACGTTTGTTTTAAACTATTCTTTCAAAAGCAAAGTGTATATTAACTCTGACAGAGAAAGCCCAGAACTCCAAGAAGGTGGGAACAATTATTACCTGAAGGGATGGCATGAAGTCCCACACAGAAAGTGTGGTAACCACGGTCACATACATCACAGAACATCATTTCTTCTTCATGGTGAGGTTGCCCGCATATAATGCATGTTTTACACTCCATACATTGCCAAGGGTAAGTCTTAATCATAGCAACAAGCTCCGGGGTCATATCAAGGCAAGAAGGGTGGCCTAGATTAAAACCAGTATTATTACTTCTATGTCTGAAATGAAATTTAAAATTAGTTAGAATGTTTGCTTTTACAGAAGCTGAATCTTGGCTCACCTCCTGGTGAGATCCCACAGCACACCCAATGTGCTGGTGCATGTAATGTTAAACAGATGGAGTCTTTAACGAAGGACAGAAAAGGCAGCTGAACCGTTGAAACGCAAGCCTAGTACACTAAGTATTTCCACAAACAGATCTGACAAACAGACTCCCTTAGGAATCCACTTAGTGTATGCAGATACTTACCGCTGTTGTCACACTGGGAGCAATGTATAAGAGCTTCAGCTTTTCCTTTCTTGTTGGACTCCTTACCCTTCAGACAAATCCCACATATAGCATTTGGAATGACCTTTGGCTGGAAGGGTAGAAGAGGGCTATAAATTCGTTCCACAAGAATTGACAGATTTAACAGGAAATGTCATAGAACTCCTTAACTCTTAAAATCAATTAAATATCTGTTAGGGTGTGTGAAACTTAAAACAGGACAATCATTGACAAGCAGAGGCACTGAAAAAAAATGCAGGTTAACTACGTAAGATTTTGCATTTGGCACATGTGGCAACTTATACGTAGATCAGATTGGAGCAAAAGCATGTACCTGCTGCTTCCTATGAATTCATCAGCTAACATTCTCCTCAGTGTAAATAAACTGTGACAGAGGATGAAATTGTCAGTCATTTTTTTTCCAATAGAGGATACTCCTGCAGATTTCCCATTTATGGAGGAAATAAAATTTTCCATTTGCAATACATCTGTCCCTGAATATACAAAAATAATTACAAAATCAGTAAACTTTATTTTTCTTTAATTTCAAAATACCTGGTTAGCTCTGCTGCACACAGCTGCCTGTTTTACCATTCTATCTCGTATCCAGCCATAACTGTGGTTAAGAAACACAGCCTTGTATTTAACTAGTTTTACATTCATCATCTGTCTAAATTATCACCTGGAGTGTATTTGGGTTCCTGAGATCCATTTAGAAGGTAAGAGAAATAGCAGGCTGCTACAGTGAGCAACAGCTGTGTACATATTCTGTGTGCCAACCCAAGAGATACACCAGTGGGAGTTTAAAATCCCAATGAGGACAAGGCAGGAGTAAGGCATTGCAAGTTTCTGAAACGTTTCAGTAGTTCTGTTGTTCAGCTCTGCCCCTACATGAGATCAATGAGAAATGTTGTTTAAAATTAACACTGTACTCACTGGTGTTAAACGGTGTTAAAACCCAATGTTGCTGCAAAGATGTAGCTAACAGAGTTCAAGGCACAACCTGGTCTCAAAGGAGCTAAACGGCTTGTCAGTAACCAAGAGTTCCAGTCAACTACTAACCATGTGTGGGGAGATGAATGAGGTTTAATTTTAAAATAAATTTTAGAAGCAAAACCAAATAAATATGTGCGTATCTATATATATATTCATATATATACATATATAAAATCAGTGAGATCTTCTGCACTACAACTTATCTGAGTGTGCCTATATCCCCAGACAGTTTTTCTAGCACCTAGCAAGATAATTAGCATCTTGACTCATGTTTAGAGCAGTCACTTTGAGTTCTCGGAAGTTTTCATCCTGCTTCTGAAGTTAAAACATGGCTACAGTGTGCTTCAAATTGTCTGAAGCAGTTTATTTACGAAACCAGCACAACACACCAGATGTTTATAGGTGACTTCCTTCAAAAGATGACAGAGGCATTTATGCAGACTTTTTTTGCTTATTTATTTTAAAAAAGCAGAGTCAACCTGTTTTATACATAATTATAATAAAACAATAAGAAAAGTCTAACATTCACAAATGTCTCTACAAAATAATAAATATAATGAAAGCAATACTACACAAACTCCTTTATGGTTTACTATGTGTCCTACATGTATACCTTTATACCCTGCTCCTCACAACAAAAGTGGCACATGCTTAAACCTTGTCAGTGTTGCAGCATTTACCCTTCCATTGATTAGGCTAAATTCTAATTTTATTGTGTTTTTATCTATTTCTAAGTAAACCAAGCCTTTCTAGAATATCAAGTGCACTTTTCTAATCAGACTTCTAGTTTGTCACGGATTTATATCTGACTGCCTTTAATACACAGCAGCGTACTCCCTGGTAATCAGGAAAGCTAAAGTGAGTTGCTTTTCAGTCACTGTTAACCTGCGTTAAGTGTATGTGGAGTCAACACTCTGATACACAGAACTCCCAAGTTAGACACTAATATAGATGCATTTACCAACAGTGCTTCCATCTAGGTCTTACTTCACTAAATTGTGTTCATTAGAAATTGTGCATGTTGGGGGGGTGAGAATCACAGCCTATTAACAATAAAGTTTCAACAGAATGGAAGTATTTTTACAAAAACGAAAAAATTTAAAAGAATGCAAGACTATTCACATTTCAAATCAGTTCAAGTTCTACCACCATAAATGGCTTTTAGAAACACTATGAACAAAGTCTATAAAATCCAGATGCAAAGTTACAATATCCCATCTGATTAAACTTTGCTTTCTACATCCTCATCTCATTGGGATAAGGAATGGAGAGGGAATGAATGCAGAGTCAAAGTGACCACTGCCTGCTCTGTAAGTTTTTGCTTCCATGATGCTGTGCTGCAGCTCTCAAAGTAAGCATTCCGACTACACCACTTTTAGAAGGTCCTATTCAGAATGCAAAGCGTTCCATTTTCATATATAGTGACCTGAAACAGAATTGTTGTAAAATATAGTTTCTAAATACATTTCAGTTTTATGTGCAAAATATCTCCTGTACTTTCAACAGTACCCTGTGTGTGCAATTGTAGTAGCAAGTACTGCAGCAACAAAGACTCGCTACCTGTAACATGATAAAAATGTAAAACATGCTAGCCGTTCTTTGTTAAAGAACTGACAATAAAAATGCCTCTGTATAAAATACATTATTCTTTTACTCAAAAATAACTCAGTGGAAATGTGTGAATTCTATAATACTTATAAACGTGTCTATAACTATACATTTGCATGTTGATGCCATAGCAATTATCCTTCAATTTTAACTACATGTAATGAAAAATTACTGTCCTACAAAAATAGTCAAATATTAGAGAACAATACAGAAGTATTACAAAGATTTAGAGTTCATAGGGATGACATTTTAAATGAGTTAAGCCTTCAGCTCAAAGTGCCTTAACATTTAGACACGTTTGGTGTATCAGTATCTGGTGCTTTTATGACTAACAAACAAAAAACTTTGTGTTTTACCAGTTAAAACAGCTCACGTGATTGGGATTACTGAAAGCATTCAAACGTTCCCACAAACAAGAAAGCCAATTCTCTCACCCTCCCAAAACAACATCACCACCTCTGACTTACCAACAGCCTGATGGCTGCTGCGGGTCAGGCATGCCACAGTGCAAGATGTGGCACTGTACATTTACAGTAACACCTTGTTACTGTAACACTAATACAGCCACTGATTTTAAACCAATAAGCAACTGCTACCAGATCACATTTTCAAAATGCAATGCTGTATGCTACCATTGCTCTTCTACAATTAGAAGTTCAGAACCTTACAGGAAGCTCTGCTCCACCAGTTCTCTCTCTGTGCTTTCCTAATGTCAATTAAACACACTGGACTAATCAAGCACTCTGACATCTCACAGCTAAGTGAAACTTCTGTAACAAACCAGTGGCACACAGTCTCTAATGTCAAGTTAAACAAAGCTAAAAAATAATTTCAAGCTCCATCTTTGGATTTCATGTTCATGGGAATATTGGTATGCACTGTGTCTACAACAATTTGGAAAGTCACATATAAAAAAATATACATATGGTACCACAGTCTAAATCTCCATTTTCACATATTTCTGAGTAAGTTCTGGGAAAGAGAAAACACAGCTGGTGCTTTCTCTTGTACAGATATCCTATGTGGAGAAAATTTATCAGAGCTGTCCAATTCTTGCTGGAAATTAGCTTCTTAACGTAAGTGACAGTTTACTTCAACTGGTAAATACAGACAGTAAATATTTATGAACATCAAATGCAAGCCATCAACACCTTGCTTTTGCTAAGACAGTTTCTCCATATGCATGATCCTTTCCCTGACAAAGGTGTTCATTGTCTCATAACCTCTCTTAACAAGCACTCCTGATTGCTAAATACTAAACCCTATCTTAATGTAGTGTTTTAGCTCTTACAAGTTTAGTCCTGCTCCCATGTAAGTCAACAGAAAATTCTCATTCCTTTCAGTGGAACCAAACTAGGCACTAATGTGCTTTGAAAGTGTTACATTATATTCATACATTACATATATTCAGGTCCTCCCTTAATATGCAGAAAAACAACACATAAATAATGCATGTCAATTCCCACTTCCTCTGAAAATTATTATTTTATCTTAATTTTTGAAATTATTATACAATAATACTGAAGATTTGGGCCCTACGTTTGGCAACCACCTCTTGACAGCTGAAATGTCTTAACATCCTCACCAAGTCTTTAGCTTGGATATAAGCATATTGCCCACAAACGTTTCTACATAGTGTGAACTACATAAAAAGCTATTTTCCATATACTGTTAAAGTGGTTATGTAGTGTTGCCTATACAACTGTAGTAAGCTTCTTGCCTTCCATGCTATACATAGCAACATCTCAGGATGAAAGGCTGTATTTAAAAGGAACATCGTAACAATATGTTCAGCCACATAGCTGCACTTTACAGCACTGATCTCTTGGTATGCTGCCATACTAAATAGTAGAAAAAAATATGATGGATACTGAATGGTAGTTTTGAACTGGCAAGTAATTTTGACTGTTACGTTAAGGCAGACAGAAAGATGCAGAGTTCCAGTGATAAAACCGCAATGAATTTTTCTGATGTTACTGCCTGGGAATCTGAGAAATACACAGAAACAGAGGCCACTGTATAGCTAGGGTAAAGGAAAGGCCCACATGAAATAAAAGTAAAAAGGAAGTAAGGAAGCAAACAGGTGGAGCGCACAAGAGAGCAGCTAGCGAAGTACAGCAAGCAGAAGTTCCATATTATTTTAAAAACATGTATTTCAGGGAGAGGCTGGTCAGTAAAGAAGTTCCATCAGGGGCTTTTTTCTTCTACCTTGTACCCAGGAACTGATTTGGACAATACAGAACGTTTGGAACCATCTTTTCTTGGAGTAGCACTTTTGTCTCTTGTTTTTTGTCTTCCCTGAAAAGAATCCTCCTGGTTCTCTGTGGCGCAATCACCTTCAGATACATTGCCAGACGAATTGTCCTATAATAAAAATACCATAGCTATTTTTTTTATTTTTTGGATAGACAGACAAGTCCTCCTTTGCCCCTTAGAGCCAACTAAGGTAAGAGAAGGATACATCTTTCCTTCTGCAAAAGCACAGGGTACATTATAATCTAGAACACCTTTGCTTATAACCTTCATTATCTATTTTTTCTTATGCTGAGAGACTGGCATCAGCAGTACCAGTCATGTTTTCCAGTTGGTCTTGATAACAGAGTGGGAGCACATTAGTATAGTTCTTTGAACCGTTTTCCTTTAAAAGTCAGCAAGAAAACAACTGTATGTGAGATACCGTTTTCAATGTAAAGGGCCAGCAAAAAGTTAAAAGTGCCCTTGCCATGCATTTAAGTGTACTAAAAAATAGCACTGCTTTGAATTAAACATGTGAAGGTTTTTTCTGCCACCCTCATCTACTATTTTCACCAGGAGCAATCTAAATATTTAATTTGGATTGCAGCAGAACAGTGCCATCAAAGGCAAAACACAATAGAATTTATGAATATATGCTGCAGTTAAAGCTTTTTTGCTGTCGTCGTTTTGAGGAATGAGGAGGCAAGAAAGAGGGGCTTGAAAGAGGTTCAAAGAAGGTAAAAGATCAATGTAAGCATAATTAATAGCAGCAGCACAAGATTTTTTTCAGAAAAGCGTTAACAAAGGCCTCCAAGAAGCTCCAGAAGAAAGCAATATAATTAATAACATTGATTACAATAAAAACCAAGAGGCCAAATAACAATGGTGCCCTACAGTAAAAAGCACTCTATATAAACATAACAGTAGTCAGCCTATGTCCCAGAGCTTAAAATCAAAACAGACAAAAGAGACACAGGGCAAAGGGAGGAGTATAATACAAAAGTAAGCGAACTCTGTGGCAGGAAGAAGTGGTATGTTTCATCATTATTTTAGGGGGTTATTTATGACAGGCCTGTTAAAACACTACAGAACAGGCAAACTGCCACCTGACTCCAACAATGGGGAGGGTGAAAGGAAAAAGCATAAAGCATATTGTAGGACTCACCAGAGAAATCTGAGGAATGGTAGGGAGCCCAAAACTGAGGCCTGACAGCTGCCCACTTCTGTGTTCAACAGATATTTTTCCCAAACAGTATGCCCCAATGACTAGCAAAGAACCCCTGCTCCCATAGTCAAACCACACTCCACAGGAATCTCATTTCAAATTTTCCCTATGCTTTTCCAACACAAGCACATTTTCCCTTCTGCACTATCACCAAAAACTGTGAGTTTCTTTGAAAAATGAGAACACAGTCTGTGTGGTCCAGTTACTATTCTTTACCACTAGGGGAATGGAAGTTAAAGGAAAAGGGAACTAGGAAGAAATGCTTAAAGACCAACTGTAAAAAAGCTGGAATGTAATGAAATAAAAATTTTGAGTTGACATTTAGCTTGCTAAGTTTGTATGATCCTTTCTCCACAAAATGCAAGCAGAAAGGGTGTATTAATACTGATCTCACTTTTGTTAGCCTACAAGCAGACCATTTCTTTTTCAGTTACGAGTATCTTATGAATATTCAAACAAAATAAACGTTTATATGGCAAAATTTAGCACTAAATACACCCACCATCTAAAATGTTTGTGAACTGAACCAGAAACTGTTCAATGCACCCGTGACTTTATGTTCTATTTCTCTTAAAACTAGGGTTAACTTTCTGGAAAATGGTTTTCACCAACATACTAACTGTACCGACAGACCAATGGTTCAGTTGTACTCAGACAGCTCATCTGAAGCTCAGCTGCTCTTAAGCATTTAAAACACTGCCAAGGTATGCATGTGAAAGTTTCCCTTAACTTCCAGCAACAGTTAATTCGGCATTTGCATACACAGAGAGAATACAAGCATCTTTTTAAAGATGTGTTGTAAAGCAAAAAAACTAGTGCTTTTCACCTTGTTTTTGAATTGGAATAAAGTATCTGTTTCTGTATTGAATACTTCCCGCTTCTACTTCACAAGAAGAAAAATTCCTCAGACTTTAGCGACAGATTCTGGGGGACTTGAATAGCAAAATATACTGTGGCCTGAACTACAAGGCTCATTCCCCTCAGAAATGCCAGCAACTTCCCACTGAGGAAAAAGGCATAGCAGAGCTGGAGTTGGGAAGGCTTTTCAAGATTTCTTTAAAAAGAACAGAGAAAGGGCCTGAAATTTCAAGTATCTGTTCAATTTACTTTAAAACGGATCAAAACAGAAAGCTGGAGAGCAATGTTACAAAAATAAAAAGAAGCACTAAAAACAGGGAGTACACTTTTAATTTATGATTCTCCTTCATTTTGCAAATGTTAAAGATTCTACTGAACCTAACAAAAGTGAAGGGAAAGGATTTTCCTGTTGAAGAATACTTTCAATTTGTCTCACCGAATTGCCTTTGGTTTTCCGTTTCTCATCCCCTCGTCCTTCTTCTGCATCATCTGAATCTCCATCACTGTCTAACGCAGGCAGCTCTGGATCCAAAGGAGGTTCGTAAAGAGCTGTGTTTAATGGCAAGTAACGAAGTTCATCTGGAGAGTATCTAAAGTTAATAGACAAATTTAATTCATGTGTACTTTATACATTAATGTTACGTCACACAGCGTACAAGGACTTCAATGAAAAAGAGCAAGAAAAGCTCCCTTTTTTGTAGGGAAGCATGTAAAAACATGCAATTCTGAAAACAAAGGAAACATTAATTTCTCCTTCCAAACGTGGTACCCTATAGTACTTGTCTTCTTTGTATAGCAGGTATTTTTGGAATGCAGGAAGAGTATCTCTGCAATATTCCAAACCTACATAATCATAAAAGGCCACAGACGACCTAAAAATTTTTAACCAATCCATATTTCTATGCCCAACAATACACTTTATTTATAAATGTAGTGTCCATATAGCACATGCACAACAGTTCTAGCACAGGGCACATGAACAGCTAGGGTCCAAAGCAAAGTAGGTAAAGAATACAGCTATACATCCAAGTTCCTTGATTACTGAAGGAGAATAAAAAGTGCATATAAAAATACAATTTCAGAAGACTGAAGACCTAATCACATTGCTTATAACCAGATACAGTTTAACAGGTGTAACATACTTCTTTTTTTAACCTGAGATACTAAGAAAAAATTGAAAGTCCTCTTATTATTAAGGACAGACATTGTAAGGAATAGGATATTATTTTAATGCATATTTTGAAAAGTTGTGTCCTTCATTAACAAGGATAAGCAGATCCACTTGCAGCTTGTGTGAAATAAGTAAGATATTTAATCTTTAATTCAGAATTAAATTCAAACTCTTTAATTCAATTAATTTAATAAAATGTAAGTCCTTCAGAATGTCCTGTAACATGCAAATTTGTGGTGGTCTGTATGCACACACACTGGAATAAGCAAGGCATTTACAGATAAAGAGTTTCTCTCAAGAAAACCGTGCAGGTACAGGATGAGTACTGTCTCTGTTGTATGGATGGTAAGACTTAGGGAACAATTTTCAAATCAGTGAGTATTTCTCAAATGGGATCATACCACTGGAAAAGTCTTAAATTTGTGTAGACAGTCAGGTCCGCATTTTTCGCAAAATACAAGATCCAACTAGTGATACCCTTCTCACCCACTTACATTAAACTCAGCCCACAAGAACAATCAGGGTGTTTTTTTTTAATTAAGAATTTTGTAAAGAAGGACAGCAAGACTGTCACACAGAAAACACAATTACAAGCCAGCATTACAAAATTCTGACATAGTAACATTAACCGTAGCACTCATGCAGATGATCAGTAAACACATGAGGGTGGCAAAAATGAAATCAGTGCCTCCTCTTACCACAGTAAAATCTGAGTAGGCCACATTCCAGGCACTGCAACACATCAGCAGGGATATACCCCTTGCAACTAGCACTGTTTTGTTGACAGTTCTTGTCACACTATGCATCTCTTAGACTAGCAAGTGTCTCAAACATAAAAATTCAAAACCTCACAGGAAATACATTCAAATGTTTTCTATTTACTAGATGCAGAGAAAACAGATCAGTGCAACAGAATCAGCAGTTAGGATTCTTTTAAAATACCTTTTGTAGTACTCCTGGAACTGGCCGGGTATGAGAGCCACTGGATAAGGACTAACCTTTGTTCTCTCTGTAGGTAAGATTTTATATTTTCCTTGAGGCACCTGGATAATCTGTATTGTTTAAGACAAAACAAAGACATTTTTGTTTCACACACAAACTTTTGAGCCTTCTTCACCATCTTGCCCCCAAACATTTTTTAACTAGTCAGTTTTATTGAATTGCAACAGCTACCCAAGCTCTCCCATGGGAAATTAATTCATTAAAATGGTTAGAGATCCCACTCACAAAATAGTACCACAGTTTAAATCCAATCACTGAGTATCTAGTGAACTGAAAAATTATCAGTTAAGACTACTTCTAATAATATATTACATAAAATAGTTTGAAAATTAAAATTTGAATTGAAATTGAAACAATACAATTGAATTTCAATACAATTGAAACTGTAAACATTACTTTTGTGACTGGCATCTTTAGCATGAATTAACATTGTTGGTCCATACTGGCAGCAAGCAGCAAGAACACATCCATCTAATTCTGAAACCAGATTGCAGCATTAAAAAAATACCACTAATAATAAAAATATATGGAAAGGAGAAGCCTACACAGACGTCTTCTTTCCCTTAGAAAGAAATTAACTATCCACTATCTTGTCTCTAACATGGGTCAGTACCAAAAAAACATAATAGACTGACATGTAACAATTTGCACTGAGAAGATTTTCACTGTCTTCACATGAGCAGGACAGTCCTGCTTCAAAATGGCAGCTAATTTTTTTTTAAACAGGGCACTGAAACATTAAATCTATCTAATACAAAAATCATATAGCACCTAACAAAAACAAAGGCATAATATTGCAGACTCTTAGGGCATATATAGTTTACTTTTTTTCCTAGGTATTGTTTAGGCAAAATTTTGAAGGTATTCCAAAACAGAATTAGCCATTCATACGAATAGATAAAATAGTAACAGAAGCTTCTTAGTTACCTAAGCCTCCCTCTTTAAGTTTTGTACTACCAGTAGATGACAACAAAGTTACACTGAAACTTTTAAAGCTTCCCAAGACAAATGTTTTCAGGTTAAAAGAAAAATATAAAAATTTCACATTAAATGTACTTGAAATTATTGCTTTTAGCTGTATTACCCATTTAACAGCAAAGCTGTTTAAGTCCCTACATGACTGAAATAAGACTAATCAAAACCCTTGACAATAACAGTTAAAAATGGTATGAAAACCAACTTAACCTTAAACAAGCAAGGAGATACCTATTAAGATTGATAAGAAATTTAAATCTGCCTACATGTGTCTGTAAATCAAAATAGGCTCTACGTTCTTCCATCCGCTCCCGGTTTAAATTGCTGTTGAATTCCGCAGCTTTCTTGGCAGCTTTTTTAATGTATTCTGGAACTTTGCTGGCTTCTACTTTCTGTGTGTTCTGCTGCTGCATTTGCTGGAATAAAAACAATTTTATCAATTCACATATATTTCACTATCAGCCTGAGAACAGCCTTTTCTTACACTGCACATGTTACAGATCTAGTTAATTTATATGCTAGCTACTTACAGAGTACTCTTTATAATGATCTGTTATTCGCTGACGCTCTTTCTCTTGCAGTATAACAGAATACTCAGCATGTTTGGCAGGATATTCTTTAATCATAAGGTCAATTACTTCATCACTACGCAAAGCTGTTAGACCTAAAATAGATAAAAGCAATAATGATGCTATCTGGCAAAACTATCTGTAGGTTATTTATATCTCACAATGATCAGCTTAACTTTTTGAGCAGCTAGAAACAACAACCTGCTGTGCACAGTACTTCTCTCTCTCTAAAGTAGAAGTGAACTTGTGCCATTTAGCTCTCAAGGCTGATTAGGGGTTTGCTTCTACCCAATGAGTCAAGACTCATTTGTTCCTTACAGTTACAGACCCCTGAACACTGACTCAGACAGCTACTGAATTCCTGTGTGAGGCAGAACCTTAGTTCTAAGCGGGACCTGGTGAAATGGAACATAGCTTTCATTTCCAATATTGGTGAAATCTTAAGTTTCATTAACTTGCAGAACCTTAACTGAAATTAAGAGGTTTAGATAATCTCTACATACAAATCAAGGAAGAATCAGTGTGAGGGTAATTCAGAGCAGCAAACCACACACAGACTTCTGACTCCAAAGTAAATCATTTGAAGTTCAGAAAGCAAAATGCCTCAGTTTGCAGCTACAATGCACAACTCCTTTAAAGGTTCAAACACAACTATTCTCTCATCATTAACTATAGAATGGAGGATGACTTATGTTACTACCACCAATTATAAATATAACCTTAAAAAAATAGGGATAGTTAACTCAGCACACATCTCTACTGAATATACGAGGCAGGATACAGCATTTTACTTCTATTGATAAAGATCAGACACTGTTCTTTCACACATGTTTAAGTTAAAGAAAAAAAATAATGAAGAGGGCTGGCAGAAGAGACATAAAGGTGGTATTCCAAAGACTGTCAGTATATAAAATGACACTGCATTTACACAGACCCATGAATTACAGAAAAAAGATGTGACAGGCACCATTCAATCTCTAACATGCTCCAAGGCATGTGTACTAGCAGAGGAAGAAGAAAATACTTCAAGCTCTTTCAATATATGCCAAATCAATGGGATCATTCAATTTCAAGTACATTAAAGTGCTTTAATACACACCCTTCTAACTTCAAACATATAAACTGTACCATGTAAGATACACTAATATTTGCTGGGTTCCAACTAACTCAACAAAACAAGACTGATGCACTTTTCAATTTGAAAAATTAATGGTGTTCTCTTTTCTAGAAAAAGGTTCTAGAAGTTAATTTCCAACACAGAAGGGATTTTTCTTAGTAATTAAAATAGATCCAAAACTTACTTCTTATAATAAGATTGGAACCCTGATACCCTGTGGCCAATTCATGCAAATTAATAATAATTCAGTTTTCATTTCAAAATTTGTTTTCATTTAAGAGTGATGCAATTCTTTACCAAACTGAATCACATTTTCAGTGTGTCATATTTTTAATACGCTAAGAAGGAATCTAACAATTTGTTTTCTTACCTAGTGTGCACTGAGTCTCTGTGATAACATTTAGTTCTCTGAGGTAGAGTTTCTCCTTGTGAGATAGATCTCGTCTTTCTAAATCTCCAAAGAAAACAAAAGAGAACAGTAAAAATGTATGAAGGTACTCAAACTCACCCATAAGCAGGGTCAAAGTATTTTGACAATTTTATTTCTAGGCCATGAAAGTCTGTATTATATTACTATTTCTACAAACATGTAAATCTTGTAAATTAATCTTAAATTAAGCTTGTACTGTAGGGACATGGTCAATTTTTCTGAGTACCCTGCCCGTTGTTATGATTTCAAGAAATACCAAAGAAACCTGACCCATGAGCTCAGACACGAAAAACATTATCAAGTACTGACAGTATTTTTTCTTTTAATATGCCTCTTAGAAATAAGCTCCATGACAGAAGTACCAGATTTGACAATTCTGAATAATGAAGGCTCAAATCCTAGAATGTCCCCATCTAACTGTTGCCACAATTCAGAAAACAGAGATATAGCTATGTAGTAAGAAATCACCAAAGGATTACTTAAAAATGAAACTGAGGTCAGTTTTCAAAAGACACTTGCTGATTTAACCCCCAAATCAGACTTGTTTACAGATTTTCAGCTGCAATACCAAGAAATCTTAAATTATTTGGAAAACCATGGGATACATTTTCAATATGCCAGTAACAAATTATAAAATAGAAATACCAATATAAATAATTCAGGGTCTTTTTAATCAGTTGGCTCATGCTACATAGTCAAAGAGACACAGATTACATCCAAAATATACAAAGATTTTTTTAGAAGAAAAGCTTCAAAAATAAATACCTGGGTATTTTCTTTTAAAGGAAGTCACACCCAAATATTCACTGACTTGCTCCTGAAGCATATAGTATTCTCCTGTTTCATCTGGTGGCCACTTGTACTCTATCAAGTTTTCAGCAGGAAAATAGCTGTATCTAAGAGCAATGTAAGAACAAATCAAAGAATCCTTAAGAGGGCCACTTGTATTTCTAGAAATTCAGTAACTTATATTTATATGAAGTTGGACAAGCACTTTAGGACACTGCATCCTGTTCATCCACTTCAAAGTCACTTTGTTACACCCCACTTCACATGTATTTCTCCAAACCCGCATTCATCAATATGCTGAGGGACAGAATACAAAGGGATACCCATGATAGCAGACAGAAGACCAGGAAAAGCAGCTACTCAAGTGTCAAAATTAAGTTTAAAAATTATGTTATGTTTTAAAACATGTAAGCTGTGCCTCTGATTGTAAATTAGATGCAGCACATTCTGTGCTGTTTTACAATAAAATTTCTTAAAATATGCTGGGAGAAAAATACAGCTGGCTACTCACAGGACACTGCCTCAATTCAGAAAGATGTATGAAGAACAAGGGCAAGCAAAGGAGGAAGAACTAATTCTTATGCATATCAAACAATACAGTAAGACTAGCAATAAAAAAGTAGGAATTCTTAAAAAAAATTAAAAAATATTACCCAAGGTCTTGGCTAGAAGTTTCACAGCTCCGAGAACTGTCCCCTGAGCCCATGCGTCGTCTTTTGGACGGCTGGCTGCCATCATTGGAATTTTCTTCTGTGTCATCCTACAATGAAAATAAAGATGAACATTAAAGGAATTTAGAGTAATCAGCAGATAATGTAAAACATCAGAAAAAATTGTGAGGCAATCCAGATTTTAAATATACCTGAACTACCAAGCTACTGAATAACGCTCTTCACTAACAACTCATAGGACAGTTTATGTAGCAAATTATTCTTAGCTATGAACTACCTGTATGACACAGGGTGGCACAGAAGGAGGATTTGGTAGTTTCTCACCTGTGGTGTAGGTGGAGCACTGAACAGACAGAGCTGTAGCTCTGACAACCAAGTTCACTGCTCTTGATGTAAACTACCTTGGCATTAGCACAGCCAGACAGCTGTAGACACAGCATACTTCCCTCACTTATGATTGTTAGAGACAAGACCGATTCACCTAATCAGACTAGCTCACAAAAGCAAGGGCAGAGCAAAACCACCAAGCCTTTGCTGAGAGCTGATACTCACAAAATCAAGGAAAATATTATGGAGGCACAGTTAAAATTAAAGGACTAGTACACAGTTCACAAAAAGATATGATTACAGCAAGCAGCAAAGACTTGTCTTTTGTGAGGAAACTATAAATAACAAAAAAAAAAAGTTGTATTGCAACAGATATAGAAGCTATTACAGGCAAACATTTAGAATTTAACTTACAGATGTCACTACTCAGATTTCATGAGATCTATATAAAGAAAGAATAAAATGACAACAAAACAAGGAGTTCTGTAAAATCAAGCAGACCAGGATTCAGTTGATGATTCTGTGTTTTTTACTGCTTTGTTATCCAATAACGCTATACAACTCCTACCTACATTATCAATTCTCAAAGCATTTAGTGACTATAATTAAGAAACAGAAGGCAGAAGTGTTCAAGTGAATCACCGGTTGTAACCAGTAGTAGAGCCAAGAACAAGATAGCTCTCTAGGTAATCGAAACTCTGAGTGGAGCGCTATGGAAGAGTCACATTTTGTACCTTCTGAGAAAAGTTTAAGAAAGAATTAACATACCAGAAATAAATGGATGAAGCCAAACTATACACACTTATTAAGTAACAATTATTAGGTCTACCTTAGCTAATGTCTTCATTCTAGTACATTTTACATACTACTTGAAATATAACTTAAAAAGATTACAGCAAAAGAGAATATATTACTTTTGATAAGTACATTTCAAAGTACTATAACCAAGACAGGACCCAGGCTTTTGTTTCCTGTATTTTTAGTTTATTTAATGTTTTTCGCATTTTTTCTTTCTTGTGGACTAGCAATAATGCATTTCATAAGTATCTTTCATACAACAAAAAAAACTGAAACACAACTTAATAAAGCTATACTTAAATAATCAGGTAAGTAGCATCTCCCCCAGCATCACTACTAGCACTATTTCCCAATATTGTTGAGAATACCTTGTATAAACCCAATCAGACAAACCAAGCAGCCATCTTCAATTAAAACAGTATAGCACCACGGTAACTTGTGACACAGCTATGCCTCATCAGTAGTTCATACCTACTTCCCCCACAGAACATGAATGTATGCCTAACGTTTTCAACCGAGATAAAAACTTGAGCAGGGCCAAAGCCAAGTTTTGCTATACCAAAGCTACCGAGAAACTTCAAAACATCTTTAAAAGACAGAACTCGACAATAAAGAGGAAGTGCCTCACATCAGTTTCTGCTTTTGCTTTGAAATTTTATTAAATCCAGTACTGTTAAAAATGTGTACATCCACACCACAGGGAACAGCAGTGTCCTCCATTTCCACTTTCGGTTTCTCATTCGCTGAAAACGTCAGCAAACTCTATCACACAGGCTCACAAATTAAAACGCTCCCGGAAATGAGGCAGCTTCTTGCAGAGGACTTTGCAGAAAGAAGTGAAAACATTTGCACTGCGGTCTAAGAAACACACACTGTACCTCAACCACTGCTACTGTAAACAAGATTAGTAATGAGGGAAGGTCTGTGACTTTCTTCGCATCGAAAGTCAAACATTGGTAAAAAAGGCCTCTTCTTCCCCTGAAAGCGCATGTTTCTGTTAGTCCTTACAAAACAAGGTTACATTACGCATTCCTGGTACGCCTATCAATTACAAGATCTACGTAACGATGCCTTATTATGCAATGGGAAAGCCTGAATGACCAAGATGTCTTTCAAAAAGTAACTGCCCACCCGCACCCGAGCAGCAAGTGCTCGGCGCCACAAACCCTACCGCTGCCTGGAAAGCGCGGGTGCGACTCCGCGGGCCTGCACACGGGAGCCTGCCACTAGACACAAACTTTGCTGGGCGCCGCACCCGGGAAGGCGCCTCAGGACTTTGAGCGAGGCTCCGGGCACCCAGCGGGGCCTTCCCCCCACCAGCCTGGATCCAAAGCGCAAGTTCGGAGCGGAGGCCGCCAACCCGCCGCCCAGATCCCCTGGGAGGCGTGAGGTGAACCCAAGGAGGGGGTCACGGAGTTCGCGCGAGGGTAATGGGGCGCAGCCCAGGCCTCCCGCCGAAGCGGATGCTACACCACAGCCCCAGGCCTCCGCGCCGAGCCCGCAGACCCGCGGCCGCCACATGCTCTCACCTTGAGGGACTGTGCGCCTGGCGTAGCCGGGTCGCTGTCGCAAAGGCGCGGGGACAGGACGGCCGCCATGACCGCCGCGGGGCCCGCCGGCGGCTGAGCGAGGAGAAGCGCCGCCGCCCCGCGCCCCGGCCTCGCGCCGCGCCCGGCTCCGCCCCCCCTTCCCCTGCGGGGGGTGGCAACGGCCCCTACCGGCCAGCTCGCGCACGAGCGCGACGGCTCTCGCAGCTCCTGCTCCGCCCCCCTCCGGGCAGCCCGCGGCGACCCCGGCCCGCGCCGCCGGACCGGCAGCCGGCCCGGGCCAACGCCGCCGCGCGGGCCCAGCGCCGGGGCGCCGCCGCCCGTGATGCTGATGGTGGTGCTGCTGCTGCTGCCGCCGCCGCCGCCTCCGCCGCTGCCGCGCCCTCCTCCTCCTCCTGCCGCCGCTCGGGCGGCCGCGCGGCCCGGCCGCGAGCGCGGAGCCGAGCCGCCCCGGTATCGCTTGGGCAGCAGCGCGGGGCGAAGGGGCAGCATCCCCCCGCGATGGTGAGCGCCAGGCGCCGCTGCTGACCGGCACGGGAGCTGGCAAGCGGCAGGGCTGGGCTGCTCCGCCGCCAGGCTCCCGTCTCCGGGAACGTCAGCCGGGGACGAGCTACGTTTGTGAACCATCAGCCCCCGCAGGAGGGGGGCACGGGGGGCGGGGGGCGCGCTCGCCCCTGCGAGGAAGGCGCTCGCAGCCGGCCCCGCCGCTGCGCGGAAGCGCTGAACCAGCTGCGCGCCGGGCGGCGCCTCGTCCCGCTCCCGCCGCAGTGGCGGGGCGAAGGCGGAGCACGGACACCACCACCTCCCACCCGCCAGCAAAGACCCCCGTCCTGTCGCCGCCGCCTATTGCGCGCGCACGCGCCGGGCACCGTGGCCGCGCACGGGCCCCCGCTCCGACGAACAAAGCGCGAAGCCGCTCCCCAGCCGCAGCCCCCACGGGCTCTCTTCGCCCACCCAGCGAAACACCGCCCGCACCTCGGGCCGGTCCCCCTCCCATCGCTTTCTGCCCATATGCGGCCAAACCCGAGCAGGCCAAGGGACACTCAGAAGCACCACAGCCCACTGGTGCTCGAACACGCTCACTTGCGGCTCCCCACAATACAAGGGATGTGGAAAAGGCAGTGGCGCTCTGCTTCCACGCACGGCCGTTCCAAAGCAGATGTCTGCACACCGAACATATCTGCCAAAGTCTTACTTTTCAAAATATGGTCACCGCTGTCGTTGCCCATTAAGGCCCAGTTATCAATAACCTTGACACTGACACCACCATCCTGCCATTGCCATCAGAAGCCACTAGACCAAAACGATCAAATCTGCCTGATTAAGCACTCAGCCACCAGCCCCAACGCAGCTGACGCTCGACATGAAGGGAACATCAGGGAAGTTCAAACATCGGCGAAGCTGCTGACTGAACTCACACTTCATGCGAGGCAAACGACTGGAAATGTCCATAAATTTTTTGGGTGCGAAGCATACCTGCCCTCCTGGCCAGGTTTCTACACAGACTGGCATTTTACCATAGGTACAAGTAGGAAAAGACTTAATGCTGGGCTTTTTTTTACAAGGAGAATGTTTTTAAGAATAGCAATACCTGCCATTTATTGTAAACTTTCATTATCAAGCCTAGGCATGCAACAGACAAGCAACATTAAAAATCTGGCAAAGTTTGGTCTCCAAGCAGCTACCAAGCTGCTTCAACTTCCACAGCAGAGCATTCCAGCAGTTGAAGCTCATAAGTACAGAATAATACACATTTCAAAACTTTTTCTTTCATTTGTTGGGTTGTGTTTTTTTTAACACAGAAAAATGAGCAAAATTATCTCAACTGTATGTCAATTTCAACAAACTAAGAGCACTAGGGCAAAAAACTAGTGCTAAAATAATGACATTCTGGAAAATTTTTAATATACCAAAACCAGGTGTGGCTTTTAGAGTATTACTCGTAATAACAAGCCACTACCAAAGCCAGTGCAAAAAATGTGTTAGTTTCATATTCAACTGAAACCCAAGTGTCTCTCTGAACATCCCAGACCCATCTGCTGGCAACCTAAGGGAAAGAAAAGAAAAAGTTATTTGTGAAACTCTATACTGCACAGATTTTGTATGTCTCTATAGAACACACAGCATTATAGACAAGTAGTAACTGCAAAATCACAGAATAAACAGGTCCTATTCAATGTTAAAATACATATTCTCGCTCACACCCCAAAAGATCCAAAAATCTCTACACCAAAACTTCAATTCTCTCATGTTCTCTTGTTGGTACTTTAGCGTACTGTAACAGCACCCCTTCAAAAGCCAGGTAAATAGACATCAGTTTGCGGAACATGTAACAAAGAAGTCACTTCTCCCACTCTTCCACCTCCAGCTTACTGCAGTCCATCTCAGACCATTCACTGGGCTCTCAGCTTTTTTGATGAAACTGTTTTCAAAGCTAAAAGGTGTGAATTGGCTTCTGGAATAAACACATCCTTGGGAGAAAAAAACACAAAAAACAAACAAAACAACTTGAACCTATCCTACAGCTCCTCAGTCAAAGGACAACTTCAGGGCAGCATGCCATGAGACAGTACCAGAAAAGTGGGTAGGTCCTCTTGTCCTAATGCTGCTGGCTTGTTGAAAAAGCAGCTCTCCCCCCGACTGGCTTTGGTACTGAAGATGACAACCCTTAGGAGACTGTTTCTTGTAACCCACTAAAACCACGTATAGTCTCATCAGGTTTCATCAGGTTCAAGAGCTGATGTCAAAACACTCCTAAATAAAAGTGCTCTGAAACTCAGCAAGATATCTAAAGGTGTTCCGAATGTCAGCAGGAGCTTGCAATACATGTACATTTATATACAAACATAGGAATATCTAGTATACTTTTCTTTTGGGTGTGCCAAGTTCAGATCACTAATGTCAATTTATAGTTCCAGGAGCATGTCTGGTGGCAGCTACAGTTGAAACAGTTCCTATCCCTTTCTTTGTCACCCCTTCCTTTCCATATCACCTCAAGCTGCAGCCACACAGCATTTTGTGCTGAACGTGACAACCCAAGTGGAGATCAAAACACACTGAAAAAAGAAATTCACTGCAGTTGTGCAATTCCACTGGCACAGCACACAGTGGAAATAACTGCTTGATGGGGAAGAGCAGCATGGGCTGCTTACCACTGTTGCCAGTCTCAGATTACACCTTCCACAAGGGTTAAGCAGAACTGCAGCAGCACTTTCAACTGTCCCCCGGCCTACTGCTCCACATAAAGAACCCAAAGGCTCCAAGACCACCTCGAACTAATAAAGCTGCTGAATGTGGATGAATGCCTAGGAGTTAACAATTCTAAAAATTATTTTCAGTTTGCAAGAGGTAGTATGAGTAATATGTTTGCTCACTTCCATTGCCTGATTTGCCTTTTCCACAATTAGTACTGATACCACATATTTATAGCGATCAAAGTTCAATTCCTTCACAGCCTTTAATATTTCTTCTGAGATCGAAGCACACAAGGTGAGACTAGAAGCTCCATCATATTTGTCTTGTTGAAGTTTACTCTATCAAAAACAATTTTGAAAAATCTTAAGTTTTTCATCCTGGTAGTCTTTTGCTGAAGAACTTTTAGAGTCATTTCTGTTACAAGAGCATTAGAAGAACTAATGAGTACAACAATCAATATAGACAGTGCTCTCAAACAGCAAAGGCTGCACTATTTTTACTCTTAAATGTTTTACCTATTTCTTGAAAGTGACAAACACAGCCAGCCAATTTCTATTTATCAAACAGGAGTGTATTTTCCATCAGTTGAACTTGGTTCACTGGAAAACAGCACTACAAATACCTATTCCAAATATCCGAGGTATGTCTTCCAGACAGCAGAATTACAGGAGTTCGGTTTATCTATTTAAGTTATCACTAACAGCTACATATCTCAAGATATTATGTTGTCCTCCGCCACCAGTGTGGTGAACAACCAAGGACAACCTGGAGCTTCAACAGGGAGGAACATCTTTGTGTTTGCCACATTTCTGTTTTTCTCTTTTACTCATGAAAAGGCAGAAGGCTGAAGCTAAACAGAATTTCACAGCAATTTTTGTAGGCTCCTAGAAGGACTTAGGGTGGAAGGGTTCCCTGGAGGTACCTAGGCCAGCCTCCTGCTCAAAACAAAATTGTCACAAACCTCGCTCAGGCCCCTCTTAATGTATCCTTTCAATACATAAATGGGCCTTATAAGGAGGATAGAGAAGACTTTGCACCTGCACCTCCAGTGACTGGACAAGGAACAATGGTTTTAACCTGAAAGAGGGTAGCTTGAGATTGGATATAAGGAAGAAATTTTTTACAATGAGGGTGGTGAGACACGGAAAGAGGTTTTCTGGAGAAGATGTGGATGCCCCATCACTAGAAGTGTTCAAGGGCAGGCAGGATATGGCAGCCTAGTCTAGTGGAAAGTGTCCTTGCCCATAGCAGGAGAGTTGGGACTGGATGATCTTTAAGGTCCCTTCCAACCCAAACCGTTCTATGATGGTTCTATAACAGATTGTTCTCCTTCATTGTCGCTTAATTTTTGTACACGGCAGTCAGACTGTCAAGGACACCAAGTATATTTTGTGGTCATGTGACAGTAGTGTAACTAATTGAAGGAGTACAATCCCACAAATTCAAGGCGAGGATCTTTTGATAGCTCGATGCAGATTAGTGTACTCTTAACTTTGCTACAGCTCAATTTGATTTAGAAATGGCTAAGAGTTTAAGAAGCTTCAGCTCCATCTTAATAGCATGTGCTCACACCGTGGTGACCTTGCAGAGGGCCACCTGCACTTAGCAAAACAGAGCGCATTCATTCTACATTTGTGTGCAAAAACCCAAAGTCTGCAGATTTATCATACGTCTAAGATTATGCAACTTACACCGTCCATTAATATAGTCTTTGCAAAACACACTACTTTTGCAATAAAATCAGATAATTAAAATAAATACTATACCATTAGTACTGCTTGAGCTTTGTTTCTTACTAAGTAATCCTGAACTCTATTGTACGGATCCAGCCTGTAAGTATTAGCATATCTTATCTTTGCCTTATTAGCTTTGGATGCTAGCTTAGATTTTGCTGGATCACTAGCTTGCTCTTCTTCCACTGGAGCCAGACCTGAAACTTCATAATAAGACTGTGCCCTTTTTCCTTTCACCTGTGAAAAATAATAAAAAAAAAATCTACTTCACATGTCAATATTTTAGCATGTAACATTTTAAATAATACTTTATGATTTACAGTTAAGAGGAAAAAAGCACCACAATTTGTCTAGGAAAATGTGACAAAGCAGAAAAGCTAGAAAATGGGTATCACCTTCTGGCTGTTTTGACACTACTGTTTTGACTGAAAAAAAGAGAACAGTAGTTAATTTCTGCCTAAATTTGACTTCTTCTTAAACAAAACCCAAATTAAGTTTGAATTTAAACTCAATCAGACACATCATACTAGCACTCTGAATCCGCTCCACTTCCAAAGTAGAACCACATAGACATTAACATGTGTCCAAAACTGTAAACCACAACTTCTAGATTTTCATTCAAAAAGGCTACACAAAACATATGCTCAATTAATTTACTATGTAATTTCATTCTTGTCCTCATTCCTTATGAAGCTACCAAACAAATGCGTCCTGTTTTAATGATTTAATTTCTCATTAATAAAAATAAAGGGGGGAGGGAATTATGCTCCAATTTGTGAGCTTTGTAATTGCTTGGAACTTAAAAAACAGAGCAGTTCTTTTTATTTGTCATCAGAACTCTGAAGAGCCATGTTTTCTTCCCATTCAGCTTGTATATGATCATTCTCTTCAACAAACATAATAAAATTTGGCGCTCTGTGAATGCAAGCTGCAAGTCTGATGATGCACACAAAAGTTGTCACCTCCTGTCCTCCACGGCTGGCTTAAAACAGAACTGTAAAAGGATAACAAAACAGGAGAGGAAAGCACATGGAACCTATGAGATCACAACAGATGCTACAGACTGTGGTCTTCCATACCTTCTGCCTCCCAACTAACTGCTTTCAAGTTCTGCTAACTCTTCAGTCTCTCGCTCCATTACCTGACTACAGCTGGAACTTAGGTGAGAGAAAATCATCAGTTCCTTTTCAGAAGAGCAGAAAAGAGCAAAAAGGTGATAAAATATCACAGTGTAACGCTTACACTAAGACGTATAATAAAACAATCATACACTTATGGATAATATAAGAGTCTGGTGAAAAGATTCACTGCTCAGGGGCTCACAAGCCCTTCAGTCAGAGGAGTTTGAGAATAAGGGAAGCAATGCAGTTTCTTCTCTATGAGATCACATACATGCTGTCATGTACCCTGTCAACACTGTGGACATTACCTACATCTGTCCTTTAGTTCCTTACCATTAGATAGCTGTTGAAAACTAGGGATATTGCACTAGGGCTGCCATACTGGCTGCAGGTGTTTGTTGATACCATGCCAACAATGCAAACTCCAAATAGTACTTACACTACACTAAAAATGCAAGAAACAAACACATATGCACTTAGGTTGTGCATACTTGTTATCCTCTAACTGAAACTCAGATCTACAAAGACTACAACTCCTACTTGCTCATCCTAACAGAATAAAAACCACCTCAAGTTTGCCAGCTGAGCTGCTCAAATGAGCATCCCAATCCATGTCAGTGGAAATGAACCTGTGAAAACCGTCTCAGTGCAAACGGCAATTCTTTGCTAACATGGTTCAGCATAAGTCACAACACCTTCAGGTTGTACCAGTACAGACAGAAGAAAATTCATGTCTATAGCACATTACTTCTAACAATGCTGTTACTTACAAGTTTAACTGCTACTATTAGTGATAAGAGTCTTCCTAATCATTTGCTCATGTGCAAGAAGCAATTTATTAGAGACAACCAAAAACATTACTGATACCTCTACACAAATGGCTTGTAAATAAACTTACCTCTTTATTTCACAATATGGTGATTCAAAGTTTCAGCACAACATAACGATTACCTTTCTATATATTTGCATCCCTTGTGAAAGGATTTACATTTGACACTGTCCATCATATTTGAAAAATCATGACAGTCAGGTGAAGCTCCTGACAACTGGAAAAAGGGAAATAAAACCCCCATTTTCAAGAAGGGGAAAATGGATGACCCAGGGAACTATAGACCAGTCAATCTCACCTCTGTGCCTGGCAAAATCTTGGAGCAGATTCTCCTGGAAGGCATGCTAAGGCACATGAAAAACAACAGGGTGCTTGGTGACAGCCAACATAGCTTCACTAAGGGGAAATCCTGCCTGACCAATTTGGTGGCCTTCTATGATGGGGCTATGGAACTGATGGACAGGGGTAGAGCAGTTGATGTCATCTACCTGGACTTGTGCAAAGCGTTCGACACTGTCCTGCACAACATCCTTGTCTCTAAATTGGAGAGACATCAATCTGATGGATGGACCACTCAGTGGATAAAGAACTGGCTGGATGGCTGCACGCAAAGAGTTGTGGTCAATGGCTCAATGTCCAGCTGGAGACCAGTAACGAGTGGTGTCCCTCAGGGATCAGTGTTGGAACCAGTCTTTTCAACATCTTTGTCAGTGACATGGAGAGTGGGATTGAAAGTGCCCTCAGGAAGTTTGCCGATGACACCAAGCTGTGTGGTTCGGTTGATATGCTGGAGGGAAGGAATGCCATCCAGAGGGACCTTGACACACTTGTGAGGTGGGCAGATGCCAACCTCATGAAGTTTAACCATGCCAAGTGCAAGGTCCTACACCTGGGTTGGAGCAATCCCAGGCACAGCTACAGGTTGGGCAGAGAAGAGATTCAGATTTCTGTGGAGAAAGACTTGGGGTGTGTTGGTCGATGAGAAAATGAACATGAGCTGGCTTCAGTGTGAGCTCGCAGCCCAGAAAGCCAACCATATCCTGGGCTGCATCAAAAGGAGTGTGACCAGCAGGTCAAAGAAGGTGATCCTGCCCCTCTATTCTGCTCTCTTGAGACCTCACTTGGAGTACTGTCTGTAGTTCTGGTGTCCTCAACATAAAAAGGACATGGAACTGTTGGAACAAGTCCAGAGGAGGACCATGAGGATGATCAGGAGGCTGGAACACCTCCTGTATGAGGATAGGCTGAGAAAGTTAGGGCTGTTCAGCCTGGAGAAGGTTGCGTGGAGACCTCATAGCAGCCTTCCAGTATCTGAAGGGGGCCTACAATGATGCTGGAGAGGGACTCTTCATTAGGGGCTGTAGTGACAGGACAAGGTGTAATGGGTTAAATATTAAACAGGGTAAGTTTAGATTGGGTATTAGGAAGAAGTTCTTTACTGTAAGGGTGATGAGACACTGGAATGGGTTGCCCAGGGAGGTTGTGAGTGCTCCACCCCTGGCAGTGTTCAAGGCCAGGCTGGACAGAGCCTTGGGTGGCATGGTTTAGTGTGAGGTGTCCCTGCCCATTGCAGGGGGGTTGGAACTAGATGATTTTAAGGTCCTTTCCAACCCTAACTATTCTATGATTCTATGACTGTACAAAATCCTGTTCTTATGTAACTGTATGCTACTAGATAGGCTTAACCTTGGACACACAGAAATAAGCATACCAAGGTAACAAAGCTTTTGTTATTTGAAAGAAATGCCGCTTGGTGACAAGTCTGTTTTAACAATCAGTTGCTTTATAATGAAAGAAATAGTTCTTGGTTATTTCTTCAAAAGAGGGCACACTTCCTAAACTAGAGAACCTAAAGTACCACCCTAAGCTGGAAAGACTGCACCACTAAAGGGAGGCTCACTCTTGCCTTCTTTTTACCTTCACAAGCTTTTAATAACTTTGCCTGCCAATGCATGAGGCAGCATGGCAACTGCAAGGTTGACATGAACATGCCATTTGACCAAGTGGAAAGGGGACAAGCTATCCCAAACCTGGTATAAACCAGATGGCAGTAGCATTTCTGGTACAAGTTTGAACAAGATCACACTCACCTTTTAAGCACACACCAAGCCCCACATTCTCCCACTGCATCGGCCCTCCTAAGGGCCCAAGCCCCATCACTCCCTCCTTCCACCGGCAGCTGAAGCGCTCCAGGCCAAGCCAGCGCCCCTGCCTCACAGAGCACCACAACGGAACGGGAGGACACGAGCCACCGCAGCACACCCAGCCCGCGCTCGGGCCACACGACGGGCGCGCGGTCCGGCCGTTGCGGCCGTTACCGCTGCCCTCACACCCGTTTCCCTTCCCACACAGCTGGTATACCGCAGCCGCCAGCGGCTTAACCCGCCGGGGCTGCCAGGCGGCCGCTCATGCTGCTTTTATCCACCAAGCCCTGTCGCACCGGAACGTCGAGCTTCTGAGCCTTGGAGCCCATCTCTGGTCCTTGCGGCAAACAGCGCCGCTTCCCCCGAGGGGAGGCAAAGCGAAGACCTACGCCGCCTCGCCTCGCCTTTCCTCTCTTCTCTCCTCCCGCTCCCGCCGACGTGCCGCCAAATACACCCACCTGCGTCCCCCGCAGCGTGGGCCAACCCTCTGCCAAGGCGGGGCTCTTCCCGCGCGAGCCAGGCGTGACGCCGCGCGCTAGCCCTGCGTCGTGACGTAGAGCGGTAGCGTCAAGCAGTAGCGGAGGTAACAGCGCTATGGCGGGGTGAGCTCCGTGAGCGGGAGAGGGCTGCTCGGGGGCTTTCGGCCCCGGATTGCTGCCGGCCTGGGGAACGTGCGGGTGCTGCGGGAGGGGCGTGTCAGCCGCAGGTGGAACCGGGGCTTGGTCACGCTCCCTGCAAATGGCAGCTGCCTGCTCCGTATCGGGTCTGTTCTAGGCAGTAAAGGGCGGCGGTGATCATGTTTTGCATCCTGTCTTTGACAGTGAAATGGGGAGCGGGGCTCAGAGTAGGGCGGAGAGCTGAATTATATGTTGTGTGAACGTTATAGGTATTTTTTTTTCAGTAGTAGATAGGATACTCCTGATGGCAGCCAATGTCAGTTCCTGGTACGAGCTGTCATACCTACTCTGTGCTGTTACCCACGTATATGTATAGTGTCTCCTTAACGCCGTGAATTCAGAAATCGTGTACTGTCATGAGGGTCAATTCCACCACCTAATTAAAGAGGGGAAAAAAAAAGTTTAATGGGGTCTTTTTATATTCGTTGTGATACTTCATTTTCAAACCATTTCTGTCTATTTTTTCTGTTTAATTAATGAGTTTAATTAGGTTTTGGTGGTTTTTTTTTTTTGTGGTTTTTTTTTTTACCAAATCAGAAGGGTTTTCCTCCTTTTTTAGCATAAGTATTTCTATCTTTGCAAATTCTTTAATTTAAATGTGTACTTCTCTATCCGTCTTTCTGTTTAGACTAATGTGCAAATAACATTTATGTTTAGGTTGTTCTACCAGTTCATGTAGAATTCACGTCATTTTCCTCTCTCCCCTCCCTCTTTTCCCCCACTGATTTTGCTATTCATAACGACTGAAGGTCTTGGTTTTACTTGAAGTAGCATAATTTTCTCTGCAAACTCAAAAACTATACAGAACAGGTATATGTAAACTGGGATCTTTTGCTTCAGTCTATCTTGGTATCAGTTCAGTAGATCAGACATTCAGAAACATACCATCCTGGTGTTATGCAAGTAGAGCAGCTCTTCCCCTCAATTTTCCACAAGGTGGTTCTGCTCAGAGTTCCTTTCATTATATGCACAGATGCAAGTTGCATTGTTAACCTTAACAGCTTGCATACAGATGCTGTATTGGTATATGTATGTCTGTGCTTACGGGTATGCTTTAATGATAATTTTGTTTCATATACTTTCTTAATTGCAAAGGCTCTTTATTTTTCTGTGTGTGTGTGTTGTAGATGGCGTTGTCAGACTCAGTCACTACATGTCTTTCTCTACCTGTGCATTATCTGATTTGCAAAGTTGGATTTGAGAAGAAAGACACCTATGATATTAATAATATTTTATCTGAAAATGGCGAAGTATGTTGGCAAGCTGTTACAGAGCATGTGTGTTACCTTGAATCAGGTTCGTGATACATGAATGCAGAATCTCAGTACAGTTCATAGCAATCCTAGCTTGGTTATAACATTTTATCACAGTACAGCATTAGATTTGCTGCAGATTAGAATACATACAGTTCATATCTACAAGCAGCTTTAAATTTTTCATCCACATTTGGTATTTGGTTATTGCTGGCTCCAAAGATTCATGTAATCTGTGCTACATAAGTAGCTGCTCCTTTGCTTTCTCATTCATCTTGGTTCTCAACTTCTTGTGCCTGTACATAAAGGGTTCAGTTCATGAAGGGTTCAGTTCTGCTTCTCTCCTGCCTCGTCATTGCTTTCTTCTGTGTTCTTTATAACTGAATTTTCATTTGCCAAATTGCATCATACAACCTCTATTACTTATTTCCAGAAATGATACATACTTCTGCCTCAAGCAGTATCTTTCAGTAAATCAGAAGAATTTCTTTTCCTATAAAAATGTCCCACCAAAGAGGAGCAGTTGACACCACTCTGTAAGGTATCATATCCATCTGCACTCTTTAAAGGGTATAGGTGGTGCAAGTTGACTGATCCCTCTGAGCCTGCACTAGCTTCCATCTTGATGTGGAATTTATGTGCACTAGTAGGTTCTTCCCATTTCAACAAAATCAGAACGTAATAACCCTCTTCCATTAAGTTTTGGGGTTTTTTGTTTTGTTGTGGTGGGGTTTTTTTTGTTTGGTTTTTGGTTGGTTGTTTTTTTTGGTGGTGTTTTGGGTTTCAGTTGGTTTGGTTTTGGTTTGCTTTTTTGGTGAAGGTACTTGATCTTACCTGGTTGCACACTACACTTTTCTGTATCTTATCTATTTTGGATAGTAAATTGTATTGTATTAATTGTGCTAAAATAGTTTGGGTAAAATTCTTTGTCATAAATATGCACACAAGGTTTTACTCCCTGTGAGTTTTAAAATATTGGATCTTTGGCAGGTTTGGTACTCTAATCACCTTCTGTTTTTCAATTTAAGATCAAAGTGTGGATTATATCAAAAGTATACGATCATTAGGACCTGTATGTGAATCTGTTTATTTGCACTTCAAATCTCTGACCAAGGAGCAATTTGTAATTCAGTATGCATTGTGGTTCCACTGGACAAACTGCACAGAGGTATGGCTATTTCTGTTTACAATTTGTATTTTGGTATATGAACCCTTTGGGGAAGTTTAATTTCAGAACACAGAAGAGATATCAATGTACGAAAATACTTAGAATTTGTAACTGATTGTCATTCTTTATACATACTTGCTTCTAATTTTCCTGACTTTCTAATTAGGTTTTAAATCAGAGAACATGAGGTGCTAGGCCTATTCTAACCTAAGATGGTAGGAATTTATTTTTCTAATAATCTGTGTTTAGTACCAAGTTTTACCATGTAAAATTATTGTTGATAATTTTCATAGATGTAAGGCACTAGATACATTGTGACCGAAAATACAAGAGGTTCTCTGGGGAAGTTTCTTTCCAGGCATCTACATTTTCATGTTGTTGGGATGGTTTTCTTTCTACATTTATATAGCAACTATAACAGAGGAATATTTAATTTTCTCTACGCTTTTGACCATTTGATTGTTCCTTCTGACTGTTTAACACAGCATTCTTCCTCTTCCCCATCATACAGTTATTTCTTGAAATATTTGATGTTCTACAATATACACAAACTACAGAAGTTGCTCTTGGATTAATGAAGCTAACATCATGCCTGGAACGAGCCTTGGGTGATGTAAGTGCCAGCATGAGAAGCCTGTCACAGGTTTGGGTTTACAAGAAGAGAGTAAGCTCTTACATTTAATTGCATGTTGAGAAAGTGAGGTGACACTGTACTATGGTAGTACACTAGTAGCCCAGTTGCATTTTAAGTTGGACACATGTTACTTTCTGGATCCAGTTTTGCTAATGGAAACATCTGGGACTCCTTTACCTGTGCTGTTAGAGTTGCTTGTGTGAGTTTGATTTAAAAAGAGCAAAGTTTGCTCAATCAGTGTACGTATGGTGGGTCCTTATTGGGCCAACTTACTTAAGTGAAACAGGGAGCAGCATACCTTTCACAGAAGATCTGATGGTGTAGTAACTTCTGTGAGGCAAGGCAGCAGCATGTAGCATGGGTGAAGTAGTCAAGTTGTGTATTTGAAATACAGAGAAGTATACTGAATTACTTATGTTATCTGATTTGCTTTTGTTTGTTTGTTTTATTTTTTAATAGGTGTATTTACTGATTGGTAAAGATTGCCCTTTCCTTCTAAGAGACTTGCTTGCTTCTGAGCAGCTTGCAGTTGTCTTTGGACAAGCTGTAGTAAGTGCATAGTTTTGAAATGAGTAATAAGTGTTGAACTGGTTTTCTTCTTGCCAAATGGCAGATTTCCAAGAACAGCCTTTGCTTTCACTGAAGATGAGTTTACAAATTCTGTAAAATATTGGAAAAACTTTCATTTTATATAGGTTACAGTCTGGGGATATATGGGAAAAATAGTGACTATTGTAATTTGAAATATTTTATAGCCAAGATAATAAGTTCTTTCTTGCTTTTCTACATGAAAAAACCCTGTGTGTGTAAAATGTCACGTATCTGTCAAGGAGGTGAGCATGCTGCAGAGTTGTCTGCCTCTTTCTGAGTTGCATAGCTTTAAAATACACATCTTGCACTGTTTCTGACAAGCTGTGTTCCCCTTCACCATCACTGTAGTAAGATGCTTTGTAAGGTTTACAACACTAAAATTTTTTGAAATAGAGGAAATTAGTTTCTTCATCCTCATGTGCAAAAGCATAATAATAAGAATAAAATACTGAATTTACAGCCTGTGTAAGCAGAGTAGATGGTCTTTCGCATACAGTTTTGCAAACGTAAATTCTTTGTTAGGACAAAATATTGAATATGAACTGTCGAAGCTTTTATTGTTAGCCACTCTATTATTGTTATAAGGATTATTTATTAAATTTCGATAGAATGTGGAATAGGTCAATTCTTACAGTTAGAAAATAAAATTTCCCTTTTTGATTGATAGTGATCTAAGGATACAGCTTTGAACACAAATTTTGTATTTTTGTTAATTTGTGTTAAATTGTAGTGGATTTACACTACAAGAAGTAAGACCTAACCTTGATCTTATTTGTTTTTGTGCAATAACTGTTTGGAATGTCTAATAATTAGTTTTGTTCTTCCTGTGTTATATTCGGTAGCATGTACAATTAAGCTGAAAGATTGTCTTTCAGAGAACACTGGGAATTGCAAGTAAAGAGTTGCTGTTACTGTGACAAGCTGTGGCCAGTTATCTTGACAGTAGACATTGTAGTTTCTCAGTAACTTCTGAAATTTTCTGTGAGGGAAAGAGGCAGGTGATAAATAACAGATTTCTTCATGCAGTAACTACTTTGCTTTTTTAATCAGATGAACGTACTAAGGGTATTCATTGGATCTCCATATGGTCTGAATCTTCGTAATGTTTTGTGGCATGGGTTTGCATCCCCAAAAGAAATTCCTGCAAAGTAAGTCACCAAAAAGAACCTTATTTTCTTACCAGTCAGACTTGAGAGTGCTCAAAAAGCCATTAGGAAAACGTACTGCTTGTACTGAAAAAGAAAAAAAAAGTCCTAAGGCCTCTGGCAGCATCCTGACTCTTTTCCGTTGCTGCTGCTGCTTCATTTGAGGAGAGATTTCCATAGAATACTTCAGCTGTTATAAAGTTGGTCAGTTTTAGGTCCAGTGTATTTTTTATTAACAGGAAAAACAAGAAAGCTGAAAGTCTTTTATTGAAACCTAGTTCATTGTCTGTTGGAGCAGTCAGGCATAACTCAGAATGAAAGGCAGAGGAATGGGAGAGGAGGAGCAACAGTCAACCAGCATAGAATACAGTGATGCTTTATTCCTAATTCTGCATAGTTTTATCATGTTTGTGAATGCAGTTGTATTAACGGCCCCTACTCAAAAGAGATGGGGAACCCAGGTTTTGGATGGCCTTTGAAAGATAAAAAGAAAACCCCAAACTTTATCCTCAACCCAGAAATGTTGATTCTTTATAAAAGATTCAGTTTTATAGGCTTTTCTAATATATTATGGTATTCTCCCTAGATATTGTGCTATGCTGCTTTTTTTAACTGCAGGATTGGGTCAGTTGTTACAGACGTATCTTCTACAAAATAAATGCATTTTAGTACATCGACCTTATGTGATCTTCGTTAGCTTAGAGGAGCTTGATATATTTCCAGGCAAGTATTGAACCATTAGCAAGTTTTTGTCATACTATATTTGCTATTCTTTCATTTTCCAAAAGTACAGTTGAAAATAATGCATTTTTCTCTGTCCTAAGATTGAATGTTAAAGATACCTCTACCTATATACACTGGCATAAGATGAGTAGTCATACAAGTAGTATTCTGCTCTCTTCAGACCTCACTTAGAGTATTGTGCAGTTCTGGTGTCCTTAGCATAGAAAGGACATGGAGCTGTTGGAGCAAGTCCAGAGGAGGGCCATGAGGATGATCAGGGGACTGGAGCGCCTCCCATATGAAGACAGACTGAGAAAGTTGGGGCTGTCCAGCCTGGAGAAGAGAAGGCTGCATGGAGACCTCATAACAGCTTTCCAGTATCTGAAGGGGGCCTATAGGGATGCTGGGGATGGACTTTTCATTAGGGACTGGAGCGATAGGACAAGGGGTAACGGGTTAAAACTTAAACAGAGGAAGTTTAGATTGGATATAAGGAGGAAGTTTTTTACTGTAAGGGTGCTGAGGCACTGGAATGGGTTGCCAAGGAAGTTGTGAATGCTCCATCCCTGGCGGTGTTCAAGGCCAGGTTGGAAGGAGCCTTGAGTGACATGGTTTAGTGTGAGGTGTCCTTGCCCATGGCAGGGGGCTTGGAACTAGATGATCTTAAGGTCCTTTCCAGCCCCAACTATTCTATGATTCTGTGAAACTTTTTTAATATGTAGGCAGTTCCACTGACTATTGAATAAAAAAATACTACATTCTAAAATAATTGTAACAATTTGAAATGTGTAGTGTTACTGCTTTTGAAAGACTTCAACTGTATATTCCAGGTTTTTGGTGATGAGAGTCTTTTTCATGTAACAGTCATCTAATTTGCCTTTATAAAATCTAATTCTTTCCAAAATCAGTGGGTTCTAGCTGCAAGGGTCCCAGCAGGAGTGCCCTGCATTTTACTGGGAAGGTAGTGGTGAAACAGAGTAAAGAATGGTGACACATCTTCAGTATACTGATGTTTTTTTCAGGGAAGAAATTGAAGTGTCAGATTAAGATCTCACCTCTCTGGCTACTGACCTTTTTTGGTTTATTCCTACTATTTTTAAACCAGTAAGAGCATATGAGGAATCTTGGTGTCAGTGATTGTCATGACATAGTTTGTGCTATGTCATTGATTTACCAGTGGCCTGTCTGCTCACACAACTGAGATAGGGCTTTTGGGAACCAAATCAATCTGATAACATTCCAGTCATCATGTAGTATAAGTCCTATAGCTGTTGATATGCTTTGAAACAGCACCTACTGTAATAAAGTTGCAGTTGCCATTTTAAGCTTTCTTTTGGATAAGATATTTAAAATGTGCATTCGTGTGAGTTTCATTATATTACGTTATATTGAAGTGCAAAGTGTGAATTTGTTATGCCAGCACAGAAAATTGGTAAAGTAGGAACAATGTTCTTGTTCAAATGTTCGTACTACTGTACTGATTCTGGCTGAATTAAAATGATTAATACATATTGCACTTTTAAAAAGTATTTGAAGTAGGTAGAGAACAAGTAATTTAACACAAGCTTCGTCCAGTTGCTGTGTAGTCTTTTAATGTCAGTAAAAAGCAGCCATGACTTTTTAACTAGTTTTACTCTGTAATTCTACATTATCGCTAAAAATGCAATCTTATAAACTCAGATCCTCATCTGAAATGTGACTACCATTGTACTTGCATAGTTAAAATAAACTGGGTAGCTTTCAAGTCTCCCTTTACAAATGCTGAGATTATCTTACATTTTCAGTGAAATACTAAGAATTAATTAGTAAACCATAGATTGTATGTAGTTTTTCAATGTTGGTTTGCTAACTTGCAGATCTTAATCATGAAGCAGTTTCCATAGCTGAAGAGCTAGTAAACCTGTCCAGTTTTGTATTAAAAACAATGATACCATTTTGGATGGCTGCTTTAACAGCTTTCAAGCAAAGCAGGTAACAGGTTTGGTTGTTTTGGTGTTTTCTTTTTAATAGAATGTAAAAATAATATATTCTATATTTAAAGAATAATAGCATTTTTAGATAGCAGAGGTTTTTGCTAAATCTGTTGCTTAACAATGTCTAGTTATGCATTGTGGAGGTCTCAGAAAGTTTGTAGACTTTATTTTATGTCATTTAGGATTATAAACTATTTTTGAAACCTAAAAAGAACTACAGCAGATGTAGCAAAAACCTGGAATTTTACAAAACAAGTGGAGACAAATCTTCAGTTGTTAACATTTTGTTTTCCTCACTCATGCTCCACTTTCTTGTAAGTTATTCTCATCTCTGAGCTGGCTTGAATTTGGTGGTCAGATTCTCTTGGGCACAGCTTGTCATTTATTGTTTGTTTATAAAGTACTGGTCTGGGTTGTTTGGCCTGAGAGTATAAGCCTGAGATGGCTTTAATTTCCATTAGGATTGTATTTATAAGGGAGGAAAACCTCTTTGGCTATGTCTGTTATTTTTTCAGGTATGCTGACTGTGTGATTCTCTTACTTCCTCAGCTGGAAGTTGGACTTAGATTGCTTTTCACTACAACCAATAAATGTCCAAATCGATTGCTAACAGCTGAGGTAAAATTTCTGTCTAAAGTCAATTTTGTTTCAGTGCTTAAAAATATATGCAAAATAGATAGTCTAGAAGTATAATGTCTAAACATTTACAGATTCTCCCCCAAAATTTTTTCAGTAAGTTGTGGAACATTATTTACAAGTTTCCAGTGGAGTTCATGAATGCCTCTTATGGTTTTTGTAAAAGTATCTACCAGTAAAAGAGGTCTGAAAAGGCACTTGAAGGTTAGTGTTCATAAAAAGTAATTTAGGATGGAAAGTAGATCATGTTACATATATTTTAAGAAACTTGGCACAAAATCCAGAAGTCCCTTTTGTAATTTAATTTATTTGCAATTCATGTACTTTTGGTATCTCATGCAAATGAACAAATATAAGCTTGGTATACGTGTCTAGTTAATTGTTTTCATTTGAAAATCAAATAATACTGTCTTTTATTCCAGTCTTCTGCTCTCTACACCACTTTCGATGAGGTATGTGTGAAGTTTTTTTATTTTTTTTTCTCAATATAGATCAATGTCAGAATTTAAGCACATGTATGTTTCCCATTACTGGAGAGCAGAAGGCACTTTCTTGTGTTGCATAAGACATTATTTCTAATTTTTTTTCCCAAACAGAAGACGATGGACAGAAAACATGTAAAATCTGAAATTTCCAGATGATACCAAAAATAATAGAAATTTTAATAAACAGAGTTAGTTTAATTTCTTCTGAATATTTTTATCTTTAATTTCTTCATCTCGCAGAAACATTCTGTCATGTTTCCTAATTTCAGTTACTCAAAATAAATGTAAATAAGCACTGCAAGCAGAAATCTTCAATTTTACAACTATCTTGATTTATCTCAAATAATCTGTCACTAATAATTAGGCAACTTGGTTCTTGTGTGGTGGAAATAGTTCCTTAAAATTAGGGAAACCAGTTAACTTGGTGTTTCCTCTTTGAGTGTTTGGCTTTCAGTTATAGGCTTCTATTCAAATTACATTTTTTCTAGATGCTAGCAAAGCATTTGGATAATGAAGAAGTCAACCAGCTCCCCGCAGTTCTTGAGGAGCCAGCCATGGCAAGTGTTTTAAAAGTTTATGCTTTGCTTTTTTGTTGTTTGGTTGGGGTTTCGGTTGGTTTTGGTTTTGTTTTTTTATTATTGGTTGGTTGGTTGGAGGTTTTTTGTTTGGTTTTGTTGGGTTTTTCTTTTGTCGTCCCCCCCCCCCCCCCCCCCCCTTTTTTTTTAATACAAGTATAGTTTGCATTGTTTTCTCTATATAAATGCTCCTTTCCTATGGACATGATCGCATACTTACCTTTCAGAGGTATTTTATATGCTGAATGTATTCTATTCAGTATGAATACACATGGAATAGAGTTCTATACACTTGGTGTTTCTACAGGAATTTCTTTGGGATTTCTTGAGCCACCAGGAGGGTCCACGTATAAGAGATCGTTTAAGCCATGGAGAGATCAATCTAGAAGCATTTCCCAGAGAAGTAGCTAATCAGATAGTTGCATTTGCAATTACTCTTCTCTGCAGATTCTCAGATGAGGATATGTTTGCTTTTAAGGTAGGATCAATATGTTCTCAGAAGATTTTTTTTCATTTGCTTTGGATGCCAAGTCAATTTCAGAATATCTTATGACTGAATCTTTCCTGACAGCAATTTTTCATGGAAATGAGGTATTCCTCCACATAAAGATTATGAAAGTATGTTTTTTTTCTAGTTTTGTAGTGAAATAAGTACAGGCAGTTTTCCTAAAGATTACCTTTTCTCACTGTAGCCTAATTTGTTTACTTAAACACTCCTGATTCGTATGGTTGATCCAAAAGTTTTAGTGATTCCACTTAATTTTATTTGTGAAATTGTATCAATACCTAGCCTGTTCATATGCTGAATTATCTGGAAGTTTTTTAGAACAGCTGTAGCTCAGCCATGGAGGTATGTAATATTTGAGATTTTTTTTGTCTCAGAGACACTATATAATGGCATGGAGGTGTGATTTGTATCGATCTACATGCTCTGAATTTGTGAACACCTTTTGTCTAGCAGTGCATGTTTCTGAACATTAGCAATTATTATATATTTTCACCCCAGTTTCCTCTTAATATTGGGGATTACTTCTTTCAATATCATACACCAACCTGTGAGATAAATCTTCCATTTATTAGTTGCAGCTCTTGTTAGTGTAACAAGATATATTGCATGCTGCTGATTAGGGGAGTACTTGGTTGCTTTTCTGTCAGCTGCTGTCAGGTTTCATAGTTAAAATGTGTCAAAGAAATTAAGCTTTAAACACTCACTGTGCTGATTACTGCTTTCAGCCCTCAGACATTTGGAAGTCTTTATTGGCTTCAGTACTATAGGTGGCTTGCATAAAATTAAATATAGACCGTGGTCTGTATATGATTAGGACAGTTTAAAGAAACCTTTGTGTATTGTGTGTGATTTTGTAAATCAGGAACACATGGTCATAAAACCACTGATGAAGTGTGCAAGTTGCTACTGTTCTCGATTTCATCCAATTTCCCGACTCAAGAAACAGGTATGTACTTCCAACTGTGAAAGCATTTCAGTCCTTAAAATTTCTAATCCTTAAGAATGGTCCAGTTGTTGTCTTCTTGCTTTGATTCTAGCAAAAAGTTAAAATCTTACATATTTTTTGTAATGTTATCTTTCAGAATTTACAGTTGCTAAAATGAAATGTAATTAAGCACACTACTGTGGATGCAATTGATGCTGTGTTTGTGTATAGATCACTGAATAGTTTTATTCTTGCCTGAATATTTGCTGTTCTGTAGTTTTCTTAATTTCCTTGTGCTTTCTTATATCAAGAGCACTCTGTTTGGTAATGTTGCTGGTCATCTTGGATTATGCTATGACTAATGTTTTTAGTGTGTGAAAGCCAGCTGATTAAGATTCTGTCACTGGAGCAAAATCTGCTTTCAAGTGATGTGACAGTTCTCTGCCGATCACTCTATGAGTTATTGAACTGCTTGAATATATTCCTCTAGTGAATTGAGATTGCAGTAAGCATACTTTGTGCTTTTAATTTTTGACAGCATTCAAACTGAATTTTACAAAATCTATGGGAAGAAGCAGTAGTAATCAGTTTATTCAGATGATGTTTTAGCATAAAAGTGTACATCAAGACATTTTGACCTAACATGATCCTTAACAAGTGATGTCAGCTTACACAGTTATGACTACTGAGCAAGTACCTTACTGCCTGTTGCGTTTTTTTTCTAAAAATGCCACTAAGGAAAATAAAATATATTGTCCTGGCTGTCAAAGGCTATACTTTACATAACATTTTTCATGATATATTTTTAAGGTACTGGAATGTATGAAGAGCATTCACTTATGGCCTGAATTGCCAACAGTGCCTGAAGAGCATGTTCAGACAATTAAAGGGTATGTATATGCAAAAAAACAAAAAAAAAAGATAATTCTCAAGGTAGTGATGAAGAATGGGATTTGAGATGGTGAAATGTCTCTTCAAGTACTTTACTAGGAAGGTAATAGATACCACAGGGGTTGTGAGAAGACCCCTTTGCTCTTTTTAGCTTAAGCCGTGCTATACGCATCAGTACAGATACTATACAATCAACAGTATGCTATCTTGAAGGAAATGAGAAGACATCTGAAACATACAAAGGTGTTAGTGAGTCCATATTCTATTTCTGAAAAGATGCTGAGGAGTCTCTTAGGAAGTGAAACTAAAACTTAAGTTTCACAATTTAAAAAAAAAAGGTGTGCCAGATGTAAAACAGAAAACAATTGCTGATTCTGAAAAGGACTTGGTAACCTCATCAGTGAAAGACTTTACATGAGGTATTACTCATAAAAGGAATTTAATATTCTCTTCTTATTTGAAAAAGAGGAAGTCAAGAGTAATATCACTGGAGGAAATTATACTTGTTTATAGCTGAGAGAAGAAAATTCAGTGTGTCTACCACGTACTCAATATGCTGCAGGATTTTGATGAATGGAGTGTTAAGAGGGCTGAGGGCTTCAAAAGAATGCTGAGACTGAAAAAAAGTTGGATATATTTGGAGAAACAAAATCATGCTCATAAGGTAGAGGGAAAAGAATCACAATATCAGAGAGTGGGTACTGAATATAACTCTGTCCCCAGAATCTGCATTTTGATCTATGCCATTTGAGAAATAATGAGTACTACACAGTTTTATAATCTCAAATTATTTTTTTTCTTTTTTTTTTAAGATTGGAAGGAAATACAGAGGCTAGTACTTTAATTTTTATAATATCTGAAATTCTATCTCAGTTGCAAGAATACATGCCCCAGAATTGCTGTAGTTCAGATGATCCAATCAATAATGTCCTAACAGAGAGGTGAGTTTCACATCGTACTGATTCCCACTGTCAGCTTCTCCACACATCCCAACACAAGTGCTCTCAAACCTGAGTTACTCATTGACTTTTTTTAGAATAGTGCTTGAAATACTGCATGTTGCTGCTGATTTAATCTAAATGTTTTCAGAATGCAGCTGAGCATCATCTTCAAAATGAAAATTGTAGATTTGGGACATCATTACAGTAGAGATTTTACTTGGAAATCTGCATGAGAAAAATGACCATTGTTCTTCCAGACTGGGGAAGCAATATGCCTTAAATATTTATATACTGACTATATTTAGTTGGTTTTACTCTGTTTTGTGTGCTAAAACTGCATCGGAAATTGATTTTAATGTACTTGGTGTCACAGCTGTGTGTGGCATTTAAAATAATATGTAGCTACATAATTCTATTCTTACATGCTTTAGTATCAAGATTCTGAAATAGAAGATATCTTGTTATACTCTTGTCAGACTTGGAGGTATGTTAGTTCCAATTATATCTGACTTGGAATAATGATCAAAACACTTTTAGTTGTCACTCTTACAGAAGTCTTAAGAGGCCTGTGACTGAATAAATAGATTGGAACAAAACTCCTCCTAATCAAACCTGTTAGGCATGGATAGGATAGTGCAAGGAAGACTTTATCTGTTACTTTACGTAACATAGCATGTGTGCCTTCTGTTTTCTATCTACCGTTCTGCACTTTATTTACGAAAAAGAAGCCCAATTACTAAAGTATTAAACTGTTTATAGAGTTTTCTCCCTTTATCACTTTTAGTCATTAATGTTTTGCTGTCTCAGAGATAATTTGATCATGAGGGAGATTAAGAGACATTTCTTTAAGAACAGAGTATTTAAAGTGACGTGTGACACATTAGGTTAGCAGATCAGAATATGACAGCAGAAAGATAATTGAGTGCTTCAACAAAGCATATTCTGGTGTGGTGTTGATTAAAACAATAGCTCCACCACCTGCATTTTGCGAAATGTGAAATCTGCTTCTTGTTCTTCACAAAAGAAAGACCACACACTAATGGGAGGACTAATTAATGCCATTTGTTTGAATGAGTTTTATTATGGTAGATGTTAATTCATTGTGAATTGAATTATGGTGGGAGGCTTCAACCCCAACGACCCTACTGCGATTTGATGTGTTCAGTATATCATTTCAGCCAGGCAGTTTTGTTTACTGTGGTCATATTTCTTTGATCTGAAATGGGAAACGTATTTATCACCAGAAGTTGTGTATTTAATATTAAGTAAAGCGATAGAGAACACAATCACTACCCCTACTAATAGATACAGATACTTGTGTTTTTTCAGTCATGAGGTAGCAGTAACCTGATTGCGGGTTTTCTGAGTTAAAACATGACTAATCAAACCACACCGAATCTGAAATGTACCTCATGTTAAATCCAGCTAACAAAAGATTGAAATTAACAATTCCTTCCTGTTTTGGAGGCTGTTGACTGAACTCTGTGATACACGTATTTGCACACTTTATTCTCCGAGACCTGTTCTGGAAATACTGGTGGTACTCCGTAAAATAAGCACACAGTGCCATCAAGTGTCGGAACAAGTTATTGCCAGCACAGAGTTGAGATACAAACAGTGGGTGAGCAAGACTCTACGTTCTCGGCAGAGGCATAACTATCTACGAATGTTGAGCAGGTTGGCTGTTGGTTTTTCTTTACTTCGTGGTTAGGTTTATGAGAAAGTGGCTGCTTGCTGCTGTTGCTAGCTTTCAGTGCTTTGTCTTAGAAGTTTAACGTCAACGGTGCTTATGTGCTCTTGTTAACCATTTCAGAGTAAAGTGTCAACCCGGATGTCTGTTTTGTAGTAGTACTGAGATGACAACAAAATCTCAAATTGGAGAATAATTCGTGGGTGTTTTTAGCATTGCTAGATTATTTTACTGTAAATTTTAAGTTTTCAAATAAAAGTATAAATGCTACAGTGTAATTCTTCAGTTGCTAGTTTTTCCTATTTAAGCATATAAAGGCGATTCAAATTTTATCTGAATGTAATAGGTTAAACTGCTTTCAAGACCATGCCTACTTTATTTCTACTTTTTATCTTTATACCTGGGTCAGCATCTTTATAGATAGAAGAGAGTTTTTTTAGTATTCCATTAATTTTGTTCCTATTCAGAAGTATTTTTCAGGGATTTATGAATCTACTTTAAAAACTGGGAAAATTGTTAATATTGTGTTCTTGGTCAGGTTATGTTCCTAAAAGTGTTAACCATCTTATTTAAGAAGCATAGCTTAAACTGACAACTTGTGGTACATATTTGCGCATCAGTTGACTTCCACTTTGTTATCTGTGGATTAATAGGTGCTGGTGAGGTTTCCTTTGGAATCTTAACTATATGTGTTACTCTTTTTTTTTCCTCTTTTTGAGGCTTCATCATTTATAGTCTTTAATTATAATATTGATATTTGCTCTGCTTTTTACTGAAGGACTTTTCATAGTCGTCTCCCCCCTTGTCTCCCACATTATCCAGCTACTTAGGATGGAAGCAGAAGAATTTATTATAGTAATGAATTGTATTTAGTTTGGAGTTAGTTTGTTTATTTTAAAATATTTTTCTTATTTCTAGCATTAAATTTTTGTCTCCAGTGTTGCGGCTCATCTTAGTGTTGATGACTCTGGAACTAGTCAACATTCACTTGGTTTGTAAGAAGAATCCTTCAGATTATCAGCAGTATCTAAAGTGAGTATATAAGTTTACTTTATGAAAACAGGAAATTTTACACATTCCTTTTTGATCTGTAATACAAATTATGTAGAGAAAGAAAAGGAACAGCATGACTTTAAGTACATTATCAACCTTCTTGTCATTATAGTCATCATACCTCAGACAATGTTCACTCAAGAACTAAAATAACTGAAAATATATGGTGCAGTTATTCACATTTTTAATTTTTACTAGACTCTTCCTTAGTATAGATAGAGAAAAATCACTCAAAAAAAATATTTTAATATATAAAAGCCATATTTAAAATTTTTTAGTCCTTGTGTGTCAATTCACAGCTGGTTGGATGCCATAGGCGTTGTGAAACATTTGCTGAGAAAGGAAAGGAAGCCACTTGGGGAAAATTCTATTACACATTTTATCACTGCATTCTTTCTATGGCAGTGTTCAGTTGCAGTTCTGAAAATTATGACTTGGTACTGTGGGAATGAGGGAGTGGTTCTCTTCTAGAAGTAGAAGAAATCTTTAATGTATTCACCATCCTGAGGGGGATTTGGAAATTTGGAAACATTAGCCGCTTTCCATTAGGCATTGAGATAGTTTTCTTTATTTTATTTTTCCTTTTAAATCCTTTCTTGAGTTTTTATTCTTTTGTCTTATTTCTTGTAGGTTTTTGAAGTCAGTGTTGCAGTATACTGAGAACTTGGTGACATACACCAGCCGCGACAAAAACAAGTGGGATGAAACCCTGGAGCTTACAAACAAGACTTTGATAAAAATCAAGAGAATCAGTGACAGAAAGCTAATGTTAATGCAGCTAGCTACATAATGGCTTTAAAGTTATTTGGACATTGTTATATCTTAAAAATTATGGAGTCCTCAAGTTTGATGAGTCTAATTCAAAGTCAGACATCATGAGTCACTGTCAAAGTTTGGATGCAAAATTTACTCTTTTTATTTGAAGGTGACTGTTGAGACTGGAGTTGTTATGATCAAGCTTCTGAAGAACAGACTGTTTGCTAAATCCAGTGATAAAGATTTACTGAACTAAATCAGGATGATGCAAGTTCTACTTTATGTGTTTTGTAGCTTGGACTTTTGTTGTTTGGTTGTTTTCTTGTCATTTTCTATTGTTATTGTATTTTTCTACTGAAAATATTGAAGAAGAGGGTGTGAATCAAAGCTCTGGAAAATTTTAAATGCAAAAAGTAATTTTTTACTTTAAAATATACTGGAAATTATGTTAGACACTGGCAAACGGGTTAAGAAATGATGAACATTTAGCAGAAGGTAGTGTTCATTGGCAGCTGTGCTGCTTGTTAGTTCAAAACAGAATCGGATCTTGCACTGAGGTAGAGCTGATAACGTAGTAACCAGCTGTTGATGTACTAGGATTTAAAGGAGACAGGGTGGAATAACTTTTGCACAATATGTGTTTCTTTAATTTCATCTGCTCTTCCCCAATAAATATCTAGTTAGTTAGTAAATAATCTCCTTCAGAATAAATGAGCACTTGTACGTAGTCACAGTCACAAATGTATTATGGTTCAAAAAGTTACCGTCTTGTTGCACACAACATCAATTTGAATAACTTGTTTTTCAAAATAAATTCTTCCCCTTTTTCATCTCCAAAGAGTAGAATTTCAGAGGAATGCAGCAGTTGAAGAACAGATTCACGAAAGATCCCCGATCTCTATCCATTTGCTTTCTCCTGAGGAGAGTAAAACCAGAGGGTAATGTCTGGAGAATGTTTGGCTATACAAAGGATCACAGATTCAAGTTACTTTTTAATAAGATTCTTTGCAGTGTTTCTTGACTGGAAATTACAGTGAGAGAATTACTAGTTTGGTTTATTTGATGTGGGAGATGGAGAAAATCATATTGCTTCCTTTATGTTAATTTTGCAACGTATTATGTGTATTTGGAATCAACTATTGTCACTTTCCATGAGTTTTTTTCTGTTACTGTGGAAATATATGATGTGAAGAAGTGTGAACTAGCTAAGAAAGATAAAAACTAGGAATAGAGAATAATGAATTAAACGCAGCGTATGAGCAACAGTCTGAAATTTCGGCTCTTTTTAAAGTCTGAGTTGGCAAATCCTCATTATATTTTTGAAAGCTTATTTTGTACCCATTGACTGCTCAGACATGTTAACATCTGCTAAGTGTAGGTTGGTAGGGACATTTATGACGACACTTGCTTTGATGGTGGTAAATGTTGTAAGGCAAAAAATTTATTTAAGTTTTACATATTTATTGTAGGAAAGAGATCAAGAAATCCAAACACAGAGTCATGGTTTAAAAGTACATTAACAGCTGACCTGCTCTCTCCTTTTGGATGTATATTTATGTACTGAAAAGCACCTTATAGACCACAGATGTATATTTTCAGCAATATAAGTTGTCCTATATGTAAACTTTGCGAAAATGATCTTGCATGTTGTTCTCTTCATATGCTTTTACTTAAGATGGAGCACCTTGATAGTTTCTCTTTTATTAATTAGCGCCATGGATGGGATTTGCTGCTTTAAATCTGCAGTAAGAAATGTGATGGACCTGGCAATTTTGTCAATGATGCTTTTCCAGTTTGTTTTCCTACCTTTGAAGCTCTCTGATGGGAATGCTTCTACCATCTCTTGAACAAATCTGGAGCAGGCTGAGACAATCCGATTTATTCTGACTTAATGCTGTCATTTACCAGTAGAGCTACATGCAGGGCTTATAGTTTCTCCCTGGTGTTAAAAGACTTGCAGAATAGAGCTGCAGAATAAGTGTATATTCTACAAAGCATGCTAAAGAACAAATTGCAAGAGACATGGTAAAGATCATAGGGTTTGTCCTTTATCAGTTACTTGAACTGACTTCTTCAGTTTAAACCATGGCAGGTAATCTTTGCCATCTGTTTGGAGTCAATTTGAGTTTTAAGATATTAGAAAGAATCTTGACTGTGAACACTCAGTATTCCTAAGAGCAAAAGAAGCTTGTAATAAGCAAGGGCATCCAGTGGGTACACGCATGAGTAATGCTGACAAAACACATCATGTTTAAATGCAAGTGTTCTGACTTCTTTTTGTCCTAATCAGAATAAATTCTGGAGCTGAGCTGTCCAGAACCGTGTAGTCATCCATTAGCCATTCAAGTAGCTGTTCAGCCTTTTTTCAAAATTCAGTCTTTCCTGCAGTTTTCGCTGCCCACGGCAGAGGGTTTGAACTATATGATCTTAAGGTCCTTTCCAACCCAAATCATTCTATGGTTCTATGATTCTAATTTCAAATACCTAGAATTGTACCAAAGAATGTTTTCTTACAAGGTGTTCTTTCATCTAAGTGTTACTTGCAGTTGTTTTAGTCATTGGCTTTCTGCATAGATGTAGAATCTACAGCATCCTCCAAGGAAGGTTGTTGGAATATTTTGTTTACCTGGATAATGCTGATGGAGTAAAGATTCTTCAGTTGTTTCTTCTAAGTTCAGTTAATCGATTTATATGTGTGTCCATATGTATTAATTAAAAATAGCTGATATTTGTTTCTCATACTTCATGATCTTACAAGCTAATGTTAGACATCCCAAGTCAAAGAATTTGTGACAAAAGTTTTAAAAACGTGTCATAAAGAAAAATCAGGTATCCATCTTTTTTTACTAAATCATTGGAATTTCTTTGTCTCTTCTTGAATATCCTGGTTAGATGAGAAGAGAAGCATCTGTAATCATACTAGCTTTTCAGTAGGGAGGTGCAGTTCCCCTGCCTGCCTTACACCTCAAGGGGAGTTTTCAGGTGAGAGATTGTATGAAATAATAATAAATAGAATACTCTTAATTCAAGTTGGAATGGATATAGTTTTCAAGTAAGAGTAGTGAGTTTTGGTACCTTCTACAAATCATAAAGATGAAGTTTGCTGAGATGGGCACTGCACAAATACAATGAAACATCAATTATGGTAGGCATCTGGCTTGTCCATGATTCTCTCAGTCATTCTTTACTTGGTGCTCTCCATGATGATGATAGGAGGGGTTACAAACAGAAGCATGTGTTCTTATACAGCTGTAACACAAGCAGCTAGAAGTACTTGCAACTTTTTTTGAGGTTGTCATCACTATTGCATTATACAGAAACATGTAATAGATAGAGCAACAAATTTGATCTGCTTTATCTTTTAGTATCTTTTAATATCTCTATGCTAGCTCTTTTCAAGCAGCCTGATAGTCTTTGAAATGAACACATGGTGGCAGTGTTTGGTAATTCAAAAATAGCATTGCATCCTGACATATTTCTTACCTCTTAGAATGTGTATGAAGAAATCAAGTTTTCGTCTGATTTCATCATCTTTGTTATATGTGTCTTTAATTGTGGCCACTGCTTCTGGTGCTTTCTCTCCTCATTTGTTTCAGATCCCTTGAAATCGAACACCTCTGACAAAGTTTTGCAAACAGCGTTTTTATAATTAGATAGAGGTTCATCACATTCACTGCATTATTTGCTGAAGAGTTTTCAGCTTTTCCAGAAATTCATCAACTGCCCCTTTCCTCATAGAGAAGAGAGTGGATTTCATAAATAAGCTTATTTTTACGCGTTACTGTTTATTACAAAGCATATGAAGGTATTGATAACTCGAGATTGTCCTTTGCTAATTGATGTAATATCATGAAAAATCTTATCTCAAAAGCAAAATACATCTTTGAACAAAAATAATAATTGTCAAGGAATGTGTTTATTGAGAAAATTGCTCTGAGGTCTTAGCCTTATTGCTGTGTTAATGATTTTTCAGTCTGTTAAAACTGAAATGTGCTATTCATATGCCACCCTATGAAGAAGATATTAGTTGAGCATTGCTTGTTGGGTGGCCTTTGAAAACCTTGTCCACAGTAGCACTTTCAAACCATGCAGAGGGGTTGCAGTTAAAAAGGATTTTCTTTCACATTAAGTAATTTTTGTACACTGTGAAATCTTGTGTAGGAATGTTGGAACATCCCCAGCAGAGCTTGTTTTTGCCTTACACTGCAATAATGCATCTGGTCCATGTATGGTGTCTCACCTTTTTTTCATAAATTGGTCTGCAGATGCAGAGCAGATTGCTGGCTGGCATAAACTATTCCTTTCCCATCTTCATCAGTGCAGATCCTTTACTCCACTAAGGATCTGCCCCATGCTGTTTGGGTTTCCCTTGAAGTCTATTGGTTCCTATCTGTGCTGCTTTTTCAGGCTTGCATATTTTCAGGGAACTGGAAGAAAGAGCTATGTATTTCAGATAAAATTTCTGTATAGCAAAGCCTAATTAATTTAGTGGTTTACTTCACAGGGAACTGAGGATCATGTGTGGGGCTTAACAGCTCTATACCAAATACTTGATGCTTAAATATTTCCGTGTTTCAGAAAGGACTTCACCTAGAGTAGAAATCAGGGTTTTTTTTGAGGCTTTCTCAGGAGCAATACTGTAGGTTAAGTCACCTGATTTTTGTTTTTTAAAAATCTTCAAGGATAAATAAAGATCTGTTATTTAAGAAGCCTTTTAAGTCATATAGGTTTTCAGATAGAAATTGACTGAAATGAAAATGCCCTTTGTATGCCTTCCCTGGGCCCCAGGCAATAGGATGTAAATATGGGTAGTGAATACTGCGTGAGATCAAACTGGCATTTTTTTCTGAAGGTGAGAATCCAAGACAATATATACAATTAAAGCCTACCAAAAGGAGTCCGTGCCTTCTGGCATTCTCCACTGAATACCTTCTCTGTTCCTCTCCCATGTATATGCATCTCACAGTTTCTCTAAAAAAAAAAAAAGAAAAAAGAAAAGCATAGTAGAACCAGCCAGTGCCAGTTTGTTTTCCATGTTTTCTTTTCTGTGTAAGGGATTAGTTGTAGTAACAGATTTCATGTGCCAGAAAGTGGGTGAACATTAACTATTTTGTCATGCACTGATCCTTCCCACAGCCCTGCAAAATTTGAAATGCAGGAACGGTTATTCATTAACATTTCTTTGTGTCTACAGGAAGTACATTTACTATGTAAACATGTTTTATATAGAACATACAGCTGTTTTGAACAAGCACTCAATGAGACATAAGAGTACAGTGCCTACACTGCCACT